CATCGAATCCAGCGAGAGGAGGAGGGTGGTGGACTCGTGGTGATCTCGTGAATCGAAGGAATCTCCGATTTCGCGTGGGTTGCCGTGCCGAGCAAGCGCGGCAGAGGCAAGGCAAGTGAAGTGAAAGTTAAGTTGTTGGACTTGGAGTGTCTGAAGTGTGGACGCGCCAGCTACCGGCACGGGAGGGGCGACGCAGCCGCCGCATCCGCCGCGCGGCAACGGCTCGGGGTCGGGGGAGATCACAGGTGGTGTCTGGGCCGTCGGATCGGAAGATGGACGGTGGCGATGTGTACGGTGTACCGTGCGAGAAGGTTGGCCACTTCGGCGAGGAGCTTCAAAGCTGGGACAGGGAAAACAGAACCGACTCTTTAGCCTGTCTAGATTCCAACTTTTTTTCTTTAAACTTTTAACTTTTCTGTCACATCAAACTTTAGATGTGTTTAGTTTCACGTTAAAATTGTAAGTTTGAAGAGATTGAAACAATGTAACGGAAAAGTTGAAAGTTTGAAGAAAAAAAAGTTAAAATCTAAACATGGTCTTTTCTACACACACAAACTTCCAACTTTTTCATCAAATCGTTTCAATAACTTCCCTTTACCGCGTAATTAATTTAACACATATTCAACCTTAGTCTTACTGTACTTTTACGATAAACAAAATACTCCCTCCGTTTTGAAATGTTTGACACCGTTGACTTTTTAGCACATGTTTGATCGTTCGTCTTATTCAAAAACTTTTGTGAAATATGTAAAATTATATACCTACATAAAAATATATTTAACAATGAATCAAATGATAGGAAAAGAATTAATAATTACTTAATTTTTTTAATAAGATGAACGGTTAAACATGTTTAAAAAAGTCAACGGTGTTAATCATTTTGAAACGGAGGGAGTAACAAACTAAACTTATATAAAGTTAGATAAAAATATAGTCCACTCTATAACATGTGGATCGAGTTGTGGCAGGAAAAAAACAAACATTTCCTAAAATTATGACTTACCTAAGATTTTATGTGATAAATTTAGTTACCAATCAAACATGCCCTAAATATCAACATAAAAAAGTTGAAAAATAGATTAATACGATGATGTAAAATAATACCACACGATTTAGCAAAAGTGATTAACAAACCATTCGATAAACCAAGGTTAAAATCAAAGATCCAAGATGAGCAGGGAGCAAGAGGCCGGGGAGGGTGACCACGTTGTGAGCTGACAGTGGCACGTGAAGTTTCCATGATTTGCACCGACTATTCTAGCACACACATGTCCCGACTCCCAAAGCGCCCGTCTCCAATTGACCTAACTTGACCAGCCCATTTCTCCCACTGGCCCAATACGATATTTACTCAATTAGGCCCACACTCTCTTCACGTCTAGGCCTCGATTTGAAAGCCCACGAAACCCGGTCCATTCACGTGAAAAGGAATAAGTTCACCGGAGGTTCCTCAATTTAACAGCGATATTTTTTTTAGATCAAAGGGTTTCCGCCCAGCTTTACTAACAAAGCATAACAGAGTTCATTACAGACTGGAACCGAAAAAGAAAAAAGAAAAGAGACTTTCTCCGGTACTTGAAAATCACGTTAACCATTGATTAGGTACAATCCAATGGTTTACGATACAAGGTACCCATAGAAAGTTACTTAAAAAAAGGTGGGCAGGTATAAAAATAGAGATTAAGTGGGAGGGTATATAGGTAATTTTGTCCCCTGGTATTATATCAATCTATCAGATATGAAAAGGAAATGACCGTAACATATATAAGTTCTTCGATTCTTCTCGAATTTGTTTCGTTACGAAGTTTTTAATATGGATTACATGAAATTGTGAACAATTACGGATTTATTTTGTTATGAAAATTGATCTACACAGAACGGGGAATGTCATATTATTTGAAGTTTTGGTAGCTCATTCATGGATTAATTAAGACGTGGTCGACACCGGCATGCTCAGGTTATCTAAAAGATAGAGAAGAAAAATGCCTTCAAAAGACTAGCAGATGTGATACTGTGAATGACCATAGATTTATGTAATATTCCTATCTCCTAATAAGTAACTATTATAATGTCCCTGAAAAAAAAGTAATAATGTAAGCAACAACAGCGAGAGATGAGAATTAGTGAGCGAAAGTAATACAAGAGCAACAGTTAATAGAGTAGGGGCTAGCGGCAAACAATCAGGAAGAAGTTAGAAGTTGTTAGAACTGGAAACAATTACTAAATTACCCATCGTCGTGTTTTTTCTATTTCTAAATTCATCTTTAGCAATCAACGGTTGATATTCAATAGTTTGAAAGGTACGCTGAGTACCTCCCAAGCACCTTAAAAGATCTCAAAAGAAAAAGGGGAGGTAGTAGAGTTGGGGTTTCCAACTGAAGATGAGATCAACATATAACTGACAAAAGATCACCCTAACACCTTCCAGGAAAAAGAAACTTTAGAAAACAACAACGCATCGCCTGGATCCAAACGAAACTGCTGTCTACTCTGTACTCCTAATGCATCTTCTTCCTTGAACAGGTCCCGAGCATCAGCTTGTTCCTTTCTCGTCCAACTCCTTGATTCTGGCACGCAGCAAGTCCTTGAAGTGCTCCACCTCTCCAGTAGACTTCTGCGCCACCAAAGGACTCCACTGTTACAATAACATCACCACCTTATGAGCAATCATAGTAATGCCCGAAAGACATTTATCATTAAAGACGAAATCATTCCAAGCCAGATGGCCCAGCAAACAGCAGAAAAAAAACAAATGTAAGGCAAATTGTTCTTTGTGCCAGGGTCTTTCAATTTCTCAATCATCTCAGCTCTTGTCCTGGGAACATTGCTCCATCCCAAAAATGTCTCTCAAGCAGCACCAAAGAAATCTAGCCGAAGCGCACTTAAAAAACAGATGATCCATCTCAGTTTATCTCTCCCCTCCTTCAATTGAATTTCCTGTAGCAGTTCCTGCAACTCTATCCTCTCTTCTACTTCAACCTCAGAACAGCGATATTGTTTTAAGATCCCTTAACCATAAAACTAGAAATTTCTGTATACCCCTAAACTCACATAAACCGTGCACTCAAAGTTCTATGGCAGTATATATTGGTGGTTTCGCTGACGTGGCATCCTAGTCAGAAAAAATTAAAAAAAGTACATAGGGCCCATATATCAGCTGCACTTTTTTTTTCTTCTCCTTCTCTTCTCTTCTCTTTTCTCTCTTCTCTCTTCTCTTCTTCAGTGAGGGAGGCCGGTGGCGGGCAGAGCTATGGATGGAGGAATGGCGGCCGGAATGCGGCGTCGCCTCGAGCACCGTGACAGGAGGAGGTAAAGGGGAGGCAGTCGGCAGGAAATAGGGGAGGGGAGAGGCGCGACGACAAGGACGGTGCGGCGACGGGGACGGCGAGGCAATGGGGGACAGGGCGTGCGGCGGGGGTTCGCTCCGTGCGCGCCGCATCACCGGGTGTGCGACGACTAGTGGGTGTGGGCGGCCGCCCTCCTTCGGCTTCGCCCCCTACTCCCCGCTCATCTCCAACTCCTCCCGCCGCGCCAGCGCCCACCGAAGCACCAACCTTCTCACGGTCGCCGCGGGGGCGGGGGAGGAAGCCGCCATCGCGTGCCCTAGCTGCGCCAAACCGTTCCCCTCCGAGCTGGCGGTGTCGGACCACCTCGTCAGCTACCTCGTGGCGACGGGGGGAGCCCGTCTCGTGCGGCCGCTTACCTGGCTGGTGACCTCCCCCCCCCGCCCCCCCCCCCCCCCCCCCGCGTCTGCCATAGGGGTGGTGAAGAAGCCTGCCTGCGCCCGCGCCCTCACTGAAAAGAGAAGAGAGAAAAGAGAATAGAAGGAGAAGAAAAAAAATGTGCAGCTTACATGTGGGCCCTATGTATTTTTTAAAAATATTTTGCTGACTAGGATGCCACGTCAGCGAAAACACCCATATATACTGCCATAGAACCTTGAGTGCACGATTTGTGTGAATTTAGGGGTACATAGAAATTTCTGGTTTTGTGGTTAAGGAACCTCAAAAAAAATCTCGCTGTTAAGTTGAGGGACCTCCGGTAAACTTATTCCACGTGAAAATGCCGGTATGGTAATATTGATAATTGAGCCCACAATATTCTGTTTTTTTTAAAACAATCTTTTAGACGCGCGCACATCACACTTAATTACACACACCTAGGTTTACAAATACGACCATAACTGCTCGGGTTTAGAAACTATCGATAAATTGGCCAAGTTCAAAAAAGAATTCAAAATTTAGTAAATTTTGTTCAAGTTTCACTGTTTTTGTCCCCCCAAAAAAAACACTAGGGAGCGGTTTTCGTTGACGAATTGCCCTTGTATGAACCGTTCTCACTCAAGCACGCTGGTTTTTGCTTTGCGGCGAGCCGCCGGTGGTGTTGCTCCTAGCTAGGCCCTAGCTAGTTAATCTTCTTCTCCAGCGGATTGTGTCGATCGAATTCAATTCGAATCTCATCTCACCCCTACATAGTGGATCATGTACGTATCACGTACTCATCTCCTACACATCATCTCCAATTAATCTAATTCAGATTTTCTCAGAAAGCTCAGCCATTACATCATCCAATTGCATATTTGCATTCTCATCTCCATGAAAAGATCGAATCCGGTTCCTTCGGCCAACTCATGTCCCTTCTTCTCCACGTCGTGGCCGACGCCGCAAAAGCTACTCCCTCCATCCTATATAAAATATTTGACGCCGTTGATTTTTTTTAAAATATTTGACCGTTTATTTTATTTATAAAATTTAAGTAATTATTAATTCTTTTCCTATCCTTTGATGTATTGTTAAATATACTTTTATGTATACATATAGTTTTACACATTTCACAAAAATTTTTAAATAAGACGAACGGTCAAACATGTTTAAAAAAATCTAACAGCATCGAACATTTAAGTAAATAAGGGAGTAATTTTCAGCTGTTTGATCTCGATTGCCGATTAATTAGTTGACCTCTTCGCTTATCCTCTACACCCGTCTCGATCTTTCGCTCAATTCCGCTTTAATTTGGTGACTTGGCGATCGATCGAGCGAGCGCGCCGCCGGTTCGCCGCCACGTCGCCGCGGAACTAGAAACGCCGGCGCCGGGAGGGAATCCGGTAAAGCCGTAAATTAAAGGTGAGTGCATGCATGGAATCTTGGAAAATTGGAATCAAAGCTAAGCTAGCTAAGCTAGGAGAGATTGTGCGAATCATCTAGCTCAAAATTAATCTCTCTCTCTCTATATATATAGCTTCATGGCTGGGCGATCGAGCTGCAACGACACCTGCAGGCTAGCTAGCTAACAACCAGCTGAGAGGTTAATTAATTATGATTTGTATGAGAGATCGATCGAGAAGAGGAGTAGCGAGGGAGAGGATGGCGGCGGTGAGCGTGGGCGGCGGCGGGAGGAACATCGGGGTGGCGATGGACTTCTCGGCGTGCAGCAAGGCGGCGCTGCGGTGGGCGGCGGCGAGCCTGGCACGCCCCGGCGACCGGCTGGTGCTTGTCCACGTCAAGCCCTCGTTCCAGTACGAGCAGGGCGTCGCCCACCTCTGGGAGCAGCAAGGCTCACGTAAGCTTACTGCTACCACTGTCCTATACTACCTCCGTCCCAAATATGGGTAACCGTGGATATCCGCGTCTAGTATTTAACTGTCTGTTTTATTTAAAAAAGAATTATGAATTTTTTTTAAAAAAATACTATTCATATTTTATCATCTAATAACAATAAAAATACAAATTAAAGATTTTTCAAATAAGACGAACGGTCAAACGTCATGAACAGGGTAAAACTATACTTATTTTGAGATGGAAGGAGTATTATAAATTGCTTTAATTTTTTTTATAGCTAATTTTTAAAACATTTGATTAAGTTTATATATAAAAAAAATACTAACATACGAAACAAACGTATCACTAAAACATATTTAATGGAACTAATTTAGTGCTATAGATATAGCAATATATTTTTTTTATAAACTTAGTTAAATCCAATAATTAATTAGAAACAAATTTAAAACGACTTTGTAATACCAAACGGAGAGAGAGCAGAGAGAGGGAGTATTTAATTTCTTTCTTCTAGCGCGTGCTAATGGCGATTCCTCACCGGCCGGAGTGCAGCGATGATCCCGCTGGTGGAGCTGGCCGACCCGCGGGTGAGCAGGATCTACGGCGTCGCGCCGGACGCGGAGACGATCGGAATCCTCACCAGCGCCGCCAACCAGAAAGGGGTATATATACTGAATGGTTTACTGTTCGATCGTCTGTTAATCCTTGTGTGGTAGTAGTATATATTGAATGCCCATTGGTGATCGATCGATGATCACTGGAGAAATGAATGGATGGATGCAGGTGGAGGTGGTGGCGAAGGTGTACTGGGGCGAGCCGGCGAAGAAGCTGACGGAGGCGGCGCAGGGGATTCCCCTGCACTGGCTCGTCGTCGGGAACAGAGGCCTCGGCGCCGTCAAGAGGCAAGCACATCCATGCATCTCTATCTCTCTCTGTATGGTGGTGTTTGTTTCTATTAAAGAGAAGATAAAATTAGGACATAAAAAATGAAAATATATTAGCGTATAATTAATTAAGTTTTAGTTATTATATATTTTAAAATTGAATTTATCTAATATTTTAAATCAACTTTTTTATATAAAAAGTTTTCAACTAGAGTATTTAGCAAGTTAAAAGGTGTGTTAGCGGAAACTTAATTAGGAAATAATGGGACATATATCTATCATGAGTATCAATCATCTCATGATAGTACCTACTCCTTCCGTTTCTAAATATTTGACACCGTTAAATTTTTTTAAATATGTTTGACCATTCATCTTATTTAAAAAAAATAAGTAATTATTAATTCTTTTCCTATCATTTGATTAATTGTTAAATATACTTATATGTATACATATAATTTTACATATTGTATTTTACAAAAGTTTTTGAATAAGACGAACGGTTAAACATGTGCTAAAATATTAACAATGTCAAATATTTAGAAATGGAGGAAGTACTACTAATAAAGTACTAGTACGTAGCCGATCGGTAAGCTGAATTACACGGCGAGGAATTTGTTTAATTTGTTTGGTTAATTAATTTGTTGCTTGATATATATGTAGGGTTCTGATGGGGAGCGTGAGCACGTACGTCGCCAACCACGCCACCTGCCCCGTCACCGTCGTCAGGGAGAACCTGCCGCCTCCGCCGCCGCCGCCGCAGCCACCGCAGCCCGTCGCAACGGCGGCGAGCTACTACTGATGGCTGATCAGCTGCGATTTCCCCACGTATGTCTCGGTCAGCTGTAAAGTCGGTTGCTGTGTGACTGGGAGTCTGGGACTGTCTCTGCTTGACTGCTTGTGCATAGTAAAAAAAAAAAAAAAGGGATTCCTAAAACTGTACTTTTGTAATAATTTTGTAAAGCAAAATTAATGTTGTACCATCTTCGTCCCAAATTATAAGAATATATATGTTACAAATATTGTAACACTAGACCATTCTGATTTTAAGTTTTTATATTTTGAAAGGGATGGATAGTTATGTGTGAAAGTATTGGATCGATCAGTCGTTGAACAAAAAATTCTAGCTAGTGTGTGTGATGGTGCAGCTGTAGATATACACGAATCTATCATTCGGTTTAAAATTCTGATATCCATAATTAAACGATGTGCGTGCTTAATTATAATCGGTGTAGAAGCTAGAAGATGCTTTCAGCTTTCTCTATCCTAAGAAAGCGAAAAATACTTCTATTACTATTTCCTACGAAAGTATATAGACTTTTGTGTCTTTGAGATGGATTCAGGCTCATCCGAACAAGGACAAAGTCATTTACCCGTTCCATCATTTCGTTTATGTTTACGTTTGTAAACTAAATTTAAATTTTAAAATTTAATTTTATAGTTAATTTTATGTTTTTTCATCATAGTTTATTTTATATAATTTGCTTTATAATCACTAACATGGCGTATATAAAAATTTTACTATAAGCTATTTTTTAAGTTAATAATAAATGGACACGTATATAAAAAATTTACTATAAATTATTTTTTAAGTTAGTAATAAGTGGTTCGTAAAAGCATAGACCTATATATTTGTCAACAAATTTTCTCCTAAAAATTTAATAGATGTAATTATAGTATAATCATGATGTAATTACACTGTAACTTATTACACTATAATTATAATGTAATTACATCAAACAAATTTTTAGAAGAAAATTTTGTCGACAAATGTATAACAAAATGAAAGCGTATGCATAAGTGAGTGAGTATGATAATCCCCAGATCAACCCTACATATGACGGGCTGAATTCTGACCTACGTGTTATACAGCCCAGTCAGATGAGCTTCGACTTGTGAGTGCGTCTGGCTGGGCCGAATCAAAGTAATATAAGGAACAAGTTCATCTGAGGTGTCTTAACTTGTTAACGAATCCGATTTTCGTTCTTCAATAAAAAAAAACAGATACAAACGGATCCCTTAACTGCCAAAACCGGTACAAAATAAGTCTCAAGACGATTTGGACGGCAATTTAAGCTGACGTGGCGCCTACGTGGCAATTTAATTTGGAAAACAATAAAAACTATGGCCCCCACAAGTCAGCTACACCAAAAAGATTAATTAAAATGGTGAGGCCCACGTGGGCCTCATATGTCATTCTCACCCCTCCTCTTCTTCCTCCTCTCTCCGCATCGCCCCTCTCTTCTTCTCTCTTCACGTCGAGGATTCGTGGACTACCCAGACCCGCCGGCGTTGAACCTAGAGGTGTCTCCATTCCTCGGCCTACCTTCCTGACCCCGCGGTAGGCCGAGCAACGGAGACACATCTAGGTTCAACGCCGATGGTGATGGCGACGATGGATCTGGGTAGTCTATGAATCGTGGACAGGGAGAGAGAAGAAGAGAGGGGAGATGCGGAGAGATGAGGAAGAATAGGAGGGATGTGAGTGACATGTGGGGCCGATGTGGGCCACACCATTTTTAATTAAATTTTTGGTGTAAGTGACATGTAGGGACACATTTTTTTAAAGTTTTCAAATCAAATTGTCACGTAAGCGCCACGTCAATGCCACGTCAGATAAAGTCCGAGTCAAATTAGCGATGCAGGCACCACATCAGCTTAAACCACTGTCCAAACCACCTTGGAACTTATTTTGCACTTGTTTTGACAGTTGAGAGACCCGTTGTACCTGATTTTTCGGTTGAAGGATGAAAATCGGATTAGTTGACATGTTAGGGACCACAGATGAACTTATTCCGTAATCTAATGACCAGGTACACCATGTCTCGGCCCGGCCCAACACTGCAAGCCTGTAACCGCGGCGTCGTCTCCTCCCCGTTCTTCTGCTCGACGCGGCGCCGCGGCGGCGGCGACGGCAGATGGTTCCCGGCTTCAGCTCGGCGTCCGGCGGCGGCAGCACGGAGGTCGTCTCGCGACGGGTTCCGCTTGTTTTGAGCCGGTGTTGTCTGAGGAGAGGGGGCTCTTCTTCTTCTTCTTCCACTGGTGGACTACCCGAAGCCTCCTGCCCCTGACGCCTGCCAGGTGTTCGACCTTATGGCGCCGAAGCGAAGCGGGCGCGCGCCCATCCAACTAGCGTCCAGAACTTGGAGGCGCCGGCGTGTGTGGCGGAGGCTTCGAGCACCGCGAAAGCACTTCCCTTTCTCCTCCCGTGGGGGTGGTCGCGCTGCTCGAGCGTGGCGTCTGTGCCGTTGTCCGTCGATGGAATCCTTCAGCTCATGGCCGGGGATGCATGTCGGAGTTTTTTTTTTTGGCAGCTGAGTGCTCACTGCAGAGACCAAGCACCAATTCACCAATTTAAGTGCAACCGGAATAAGTCTGTCACTTGACAACTCGCCAATCCATTGACCCCAAGCTCAACCTCAAGCTCACTTTTGGCCATGGGTTCACAGCGAGTTCCAGTGTTCCACAGATTAGGCAACTGATCTGCTGCTATTCCACACTGCTTGCTAGGCAGTGAGTGAGTGAGTGAGATGAAGATTGGCGCATGTTCAGATGGCATTTGGCCACGCAAGCATGATGAGGGTTGCGGAATTCACAATGAAACCGGGCTGATGGATGGGAGCTGCCTCTGTGTGAAACTCAACATGGTTTTCGACGAAATGTCAGATGCCTACGCAGCTCTGCCGAACTCGATTGTCTCCTTACATGCCGCTGATTGAGCCGTCATAGGAGCAGGCACGCACCACAGGTTGGTAAATGCTTGAGCTTTTCATTTTTTTCCCTTCCTGCACTGCACACTGTCAACTCTCCATGCATTGCATTGCAAGCGATTGATCGTCATGCAGGAGCCTGCCTCATCTTCTGCTATGAATGTTCTCAAGTCAATTGGTTAATCATCGGCATCCCGGGAAGCATAGCTTTACCGGCAGATTCCTGAAAGGAGACGGACTTTTTACAGGAAAGGGTGTCCACACGCATCTGATTGGTTGCATGGGAAAAAGTGAGACTGATGAGCTATATCCTATGCACATGGTTAAGGTTAGCGTCCACGGATTTGTCGTGCAAACTACCCTACTGCACTGCATCCCTGCTCGCCATTGCAGAGGTTAGCCGATCTTTACTCAAATTATTAATCATTCCATATTGAAAACAAAGTTATGAATAAATAAAGGGAAGACAAAATGGTTATGCTGGGGCCTAGCTAGCTGTCCGGAAGAACCCCGGCGAAGTTTAATTTAATGACTGAAAGTCGAATAATTGGAGAAATTAGAGCAAGATTCAGAGGAATGTCGTGCTTCTGGGGGTTTCATAATTTTAAGTGTCTTATTTTATCGTGCCTTTTAGATTGCTTTTTTTAATTAAAAAGATAGTCTCTTAAGTCTCCAAACTCCCTGCCTTGTTTCTATTAATTAAAATCGGTTATACTCCTGTTCTTAATAGGTGCCAGTTTAAAATGCGTATAGTCAACCCTTAAATAGTTTAGATGCAAATGTATGCAAATAGTTTTTGGATTTGTCAGATGAAAATAACATGTAGTTCCAATATGAAAAACACACACCATTATGTTTCTGATAGTTATTATGAAGTATGAACATATAATAAAAAAGTAATAATCAAATACGGAGTATGCGTATTGGAGAACGTATCAATATCCGAAACAACAAGTAAAAAGGAACATAGGAACATCAGTTTACATCTTGATAAAGATCATGAACACTAACCTTTTCTTTCTCATGATCCAAATATACTAACAATGCTACGCATGTCCACACTCTAGTGAATGTAGTCATATTAGTATTTCTTTAGCTGAGTTTACGAGGGTAAGGTTCATGCACGTCCAAGTAGTCAGTGATGTATTAGCATGATGGACATGTCCATTTGTCCAAGAATGTTTGTCCTGGCGTCCGTGATTTTCGCTTAAATATACCATCTCGTTTTTCAACATCTTATATTGAAGTGATACTCTTTCTAATACTAAATAAATTAACCAGTTCATTTGAGATGAGCAAGAAGGAAAGGGGCGCTTTATTCTACACCCACATTTGTCCTTTGACTCATGTCCCATCCGGATCTCAAATCCTGTGGTTAGGCAGGTTAGAAGCGTACAAGCAAGTAGCACAGTATTAGGCAGGCTTAAGTCAAACCCAGATCAATCAGGACCCAGTACTAAAATTGTTTGAATGTCAAAGAAAGTCAATCGTAGACCAATGATGCAACCATTGCACCAACAGCACATCACTGTCCTCATGTTACCGAAACGACGGGTAGTTGTGTAGGCTTTGAGTCACAACCAATCATCTGCTGGCCTTTCGACTAATATTTACTCAAATTTCAATCATGCGTTGCTAACTAGTGTGGTTTTACAGCTAAATGAGTAGATAATCTAGTTGGAAAAGGAGTTCTTTAGTTACAAATTCTGGGTACCACAATGTGGTCTGAACTCTGAAAATCTGAACCAGAAAGTAGTGTGTCGTTGTGCATCATGAGGATTTAGAAGCCAGTAGGCAATAGTAGATAACCGGATAGCCATATTGATGTCTCTATCTGGTTGGATGTTTCCTAAACGTGGGAATCTCTGCTATGTGCAGTTCAACTGAAGGAAACAAAGAAAAGTGCGAGCTGGTGCGTCCCATGCATGCTGCTGCTGCAGTTCTGCCTGTGATGGGGGCCTGGATATGCAACTATCGTGGTAGTTACTGTGAGTTCTGTTCTTTTTTTTTTCTCCGCCCCCTTCGCCTTTGTTTCGTGTGGTTTATTGATGCAATTCTGTTCCTGTCATTGTCACTCCCCTGCAAAAGTCACTTTCCCTCTACCTGATAATTGAAAACAATGCCACTATGTGTGTCTCGCTGGCTTGGTGATTAGTTAGTCCTTTTCTGTAGTTCTGCTAATGTGGTCTATTCAGATACAAATACCATATATCTATATACGAATTTACCTTCTGTTATGTGATCATAATCGTATTACTGTATGCTCTCTTGGTTGATTGCACATTCAATTTTCTGAATTTTCTTGTAGTGAGACTGTCTGCCACTGCCAGTACTTCCCATGGTGGATCGGTGCCAAATTAGGCTGACAAGGAGAAAATTTCATGCCGTGTACTTGTTTGCAGGGTCAGCAAAAATATCGACTTCGGAATCGATGAACAGGGTAAGCACGAATCTTATTAGTTTTCTGTCACTAAACCTGAGTTAGAAAACTATTAAGCCAAGGAATAAGGATGGAAGCGTCATGCTATTGTCCTCATGCCACCAAATCATGGGGAGTGGTTGAACTGTTTACGCACGTACACTCTGTAAAGTGGCAGTGTATCTTACTGATTCCCGGTGCCCTTTTTTCATCCTTGTCACCAGTTGCCATGCAGAAGAAGCTGAGCTAACAAGTCAAAGCAACAAGATTAGCCTTTAAAATACCTCATACTTAGCCCTGCATTATACAAGTCTAGGCTGATTATTGTAAACTCCATGTCTGCAAGAGATAGTGTACAGTGCTATACCTTCTCCTTTGGCTTTGTGTTGCATTTTCAGTACCAAGAATCCATCACATTACCCTGAGTGATATGCACAGAGCAGGTAGTGTTTGACAACTTTGTTTCTGCTTTTTGCAGCTTAGGCTCCTACTTTGTGCACATGATGAGCCTCCAAACCTCAGCTATGGAGTTCATAGTTTCATGCTCACCTTGTCATCTCCAGAGTTCCAGCATCCTGTAAGTTCCAATTCATATGCATCTTAGAACACTGCTTCAGTTGCTCAGTTGATGGTATCATTGGTCTTAGCAATGGCTGGCAAGCTGATCAGCTCCTCCATTGTTCTTGCTCTTCTACCTCTGTTCTGTGGCATCCTGCTTGCACCATCATGTGAAGCAGCCACAGTAGACACAACATCTGCCACTCTCCTGCAAGTGAAGTCAGGTTTCACTGACCCTAATGGCGTCCTCTCCGGCTGGTCGCCGGAGGCCGACGTGTGCTCATGGCACGGCGTGACGTGCCTGACAGGGGAGGGCATTGTCACCGGCCTCAACCTGTCGGGGTACGGCCTGTCCGGCACGATATCGCCGGCGATAGCCGGCCTTGTATCCGTCGAGTCCATTGATCTGTCGTCAAATTCCCTCACCGGCGCAATCCCGCCGGAGCTCGGGACGATGAAGAGCCTGAAGACGCTGCTGCTTCACTCCAACCTCCTCACCGGCGCCATCCCACCGGAGCTCGGCGGCCTCAAGAACCTGAAGTTACTGAGGATCGGCAACAACCCGCTGCGCGGCGAGATACCACCGGAGCTCGGCGACTGCTCGGAGCTGGAGACGATCGGCATGGCCTACTGCCAGCTGATCGGCGCCATCCCCCACCAGATTGGCAACCTGAAGCAGCTTCAGCAGCTGGCCCTGGACAACAACACCCTCACCGGCGGCCTCCCGGAGCAGCTCGCCGGCTGTGCAAACCTGCGTGTCCTCTCGGTGGCTGACAACAAGCTGGATGGCGTCATACCTTCCTCCATTGGCGGCCTGAGCTCTCTCCAGTCTCTGAACCTTGCAAACAACCAGTTCTCCGGCGTGATTCCGCCGGAGATCGGTAACCTCTCCGGCTTGACATACCTGAACTTACTCGGCAACCGCCTCACCGGCGGCATCCCGGAAGAACTGAACCGGCTGAGCCAGCTGCAGGTTGTGGATTTGTCCAAGAACAATCTGTCCGGAGAGATCAGTGCCATCTCTGCATCACAGCTGAAGAATCTGAAGTACCTTGTGCTGTCTGAAAATCTCCTGGAGGGAACCATCCCTGAAGGCCTCTGCAATGGCGATGGCAATGGCAATGGCAACTCGAGCTTGGAGAACCTGTTCCTCGCCGGCAACGACCTCGGAGGCAGCATTGATGCCCTGCTGAGCTGCACCTCGCTGAAGTCCATCGACGTGTCGAACAACAGCCTCACCGGCGAGATACCGCCGGCGATCGACCGGCTGCCGGGCCTCGTCAACCTTGCGCTGCACAACAACAGCTTTGCCGGCGTCCTGCCGCCGCAGATTGGGAACTTGAGTAACCTGGAGGTGCTGTCTCTGTACCACAATGGCCTCACCGGCGGCATCCCGCCGGAGATCGGCCGGCTGCAGAGGCTGAAGCTGCTGTTCCTCTACGAGAACGAGATGACCGGAGCCATCCCGGATGAGATGACCAACTGCTCGAGCTTGGAGGAGGTCGACTTCTTCGGCAACCACTTCCATGGCCCGATCCCGGCGAGCATCGGCAACCTCAAGAACCTCGCCGTGCTCCAGCTCCGGCAGAATGATCTGACTGGCCCGATTCCGGCGAGCCTCGGCGAATGCAGGAGTCTGCAGGCGCTGGCGCTGGCGGACAACCGGCTCTCCGGCGAGCTGCCGGAGTCGTTCGGCCGCCTCGCCGAGCTCAGCGTCGTCACCCTGTACAACAACTCGCTGGAGGGCGCCTTGCCGGAGTCGATGTTCGAGCTCAAGAACCTGACGGTCATCAACTTCTCCCACAACCGGTTCACCGGCGCCGTCGTGCCGCTCCTCGGCTCCAGCTCCCTCACCGTGCTGGCCCTCACCAACAACAGCTTCTCCGGCGTCATCCCGGCGGCGGTCGCGCGGTCGACGGGCATGGTCCGGCTACAGCTCGCCGGCAACCGCCTCGCCGGCGCGATCCCGGCCGAGCTGGGTGACCTGACCGAGCTCAAGATACTTGACCTCTCGAACAACAACTTCTCCGGCGACATCCCGCCGGAGCTCTCCAACTGCTCGCGGCTCACCCATCTGAACCTTGACGGGAACAGCCTCACCGGCGCCGTACCGCCATGGCTCGGAGGCCTCCGGTCGCTCGGCGAGCTGGACCTCTCGTCGAACGCGCTCACCGGCGGCATTCCGGTGGAGCTCGGCGGCTGCTCCGGCCTGCTCAAGCTGTCCCTGAGCGGCAACCGTCTCTCCGGGAGCATTCCGCCGGAGATCGGGAAGCTGACATCACTCAACGTTCTGAACCTGCAGAAGAACGGCTTCACCGGCGTCATTCCGCCGGAGCTCCGGCGATGCAACAAGCTGTACGAGCTGCGGCTGTCGGAGAACTCGCTGGAGGGGCCGATCCCGGCGGAGCTCGGGCAGCTGCCGGAGCTGCAGGTGATACTGGACCTGAGCCGGAACAAGCTCTCCGGCGAGATCCCGGCGTCGCTCGGAGACCTCGTCAAGCTGGAGAGGCTCAACCTCTCCTCCAACCAGCTCCATGGCCAGATACCTCCCTCGCTGCTGCAGCTCACGAGCCTCCACCTTCTCAACCTGTCCGACAACCTCCTCTCCGGCGGCATCCCGGGCGCGCTCTCCGCGTTCCCGGCCGCGTCCTTCGCGGGCAACGGCGAGCTCTGCGGCGCGCCGCTGCCGTCGTGCGGGGCGCCGCGGCGGCTGCCGGGGGCGGAGGTGTCGGCCATCGTGGCGGCCATCGCCGTCGTGTCGGCCGCGGTGTGCGTCGCGCTGCTGTACATAATGCTCAGGATGTGGAGCAACTGGAGGGCCGTCGCCTCCGTGTCGAGCTCCGACGGCGAGGAGACGGCGTCCTCGGTGGCGGCGGCGCACGGCAAGTGGTGCGCCGGCGACGGCAAGTACTGGAAGGTCGGGTCGGTGTCGGTGGCGTCGTCCGCCGCCGAAGAGAAGTACAGCTCGGCGTCGTCGGAGACGACCAGCGTGCTGCACGGGAAGCCGGCGGAGGCGGCCGGTGGCGGCGCCGGCGCGGTGAAGCCGGCGAGCAAGTGCTGAACACGACGACGACCCACCATGGATCGCCTCAAGCTCATCTTCTTCCTGTTAATTGTTGTTTCTTTACCTTGCCTTTGTTATTGTCATGTGTTGTTGATCAGCGAAGCAAAATTAGCCGGGAAGAACAGCTTTGGTTTTGTCTGATGGTTTGGTTTGCTCTGTTCCATGACGATCCATGATGATGGCCCATTGGTATTTTGGGTCTAAGTTTAGCAGCCCAACGTGTTCGCCTTAGGGTCGGCCCAGTAAACAAATCTTCCAAAATGCACAAATTAACTCTTTTTTTTTACATAACGGAAATTACATTGGCTCTTTGCGATAAAAGAAGATAGAGCCACTTATTAAAAATATTATTCACTAAACATTGAATTGGGTATAGACCAATTATGATGAGACAATGAGAGGTACAAATTAACTCACAAGACTTAGTGTAAGAGAAGTATTTTTTTTTCCAGTTTAAAATATAAAATATCAAACTTTGATAATTGATTTATTTGTTAATTAACACTTCTAAATACAAATCCAGCCGATAAAACTCACAATATCAACCTTTTCAGGTATATGCATGATACTTCGATCCAAGGGGCGAAGACATACATAGTGCATCTAGGGCTTGAGAACTAGGTTTGTCTTCTTAACTAGATGAATACCCCGCTGTGTTGCTGCGAAAAATTAAATTGCATAATATGTACAAATAAAATGTAATTTGATTATCGAAACTAAAACAATATGATACAATTTTGAACCTAAAAATAATTGAGATGGTATGTTTTATGAGAGAAGAAAGAAGACACAATTTAGACCATAGATCTTTCATCCAAAGGCTAGAAATAATTGGGGTGATGTGGCTTAATGAGAGAAGAGAGAGATATCATTAACTACACTTGGTGGGGATGAACTATATAAGTATATAGGATTCACATTATTTAGATACTATTAAATTTTTTTGAAAATTTCGAGATACAATTTGTATAAGCAAGTTCAGTCCTAGTCTTGAAGATTTTCCAGTCCACACTCGCTAGCCTGACTCTAAAGATGTGTGGAGACCGGATCTAACGGGGGGCAGGGGCGAGGCTGTGGTGCTAGAGAAGAGGAGGAGATGGCGGTGATGCTAATTCGGAGAGCAAGGGGAGACATTAGATGGAGCCCAAAGAGGAGTCACCTTATCCATTGCTCCCAAGATTGAGGCGACCAGATCTATCCTCTATTACTGTCATTGCTACTGTCTTCTCACCATTAGATGGTCGGGCTTGCACTGCCTTTTTTTTCTCCTTCGTGGGGTGACAGGCTCTTACGTGTACAGACAGTGACACTAACTAAAAATTATCAAAAAAAAAATCTAAAAAAATCATACATGCACTTTCAATAGTATTACATCTACGTGCAAAGTCGCATCTTCAAATTCATTCTACATAGAGAATAACAAAAAAGATAAAATTCTGACAAAATTGCAACCTTAAAACTGTCAGATTTTTTGTTTTTTTTTTACGGCTAAAATGTAATGAATTTGAAGTTAAGATTTTAACCCTAGGTGTAATACTATTGAAAGTACGTGTATGATTTTTTCTATATTTTTTGGTGATATTTTTTAGTTGGTGTGCACGTGTGTACACGCGAGAGCTTATGTACGTATGATATGTTGCCACTAGTTCTCAATCCCTCTCGTAGATGAGGTTGTCTTAAATGGATCACATGTTGACCTGTTAGAGATGCCCCGCACGTTTGTTATAGACATTTCTACAATAGTATCATGCATGATTTACTTTTTTATTGATATTTTTGGTCCCATCGGTTCACTAATTATAAGCATAAGCGAAACGGTATATTTACAAATAAAAAATAATTTGTGAATTAAAACTTTTATACATGTGTTCTTAATGATCTAAAAACAAAGGTGGAAAAATAAACCACGATAAAAAAAAACTCAAAATCAACTCTAAATTCAAAATTGAAAATTCAAATTTTGGCTGATAAGTATAAATATAAACGAAAAGATGAGGCCATTTATTATATGGGAGTACCTTTCTTACAACCATGTAATGCGTAATCCTACATTTACACGCAGGTCCATCAATCCATATCAGAATTCATCTCCAAAATCCAAATGGCAGGGAGGGCCAGGGCAGCAGCTGCGATGCAAGTCTTGGTTGCCATCGATCGTGGCCGGTGCATGCTGCTGCCGCCTCGTCCACCTGAAATCCGTCCCCGACCAGATGCTGCCGCCGCCAGAATGCCAGGTCATCACATCGGCCACTACTCATGCTGACATGCAGATGCTGCGATGTGCACTACTACTCCTGTATATATACGCTCGATCTCTCCATTGATCGTCTTCATATGACGGCGAGTTGGTTCACGTGGGTTACTCTCTCCGTCTCATAATATAAGGGATTTTGAATTTTGTTTGTTTGCAACGTTTGACCACTTATCTTATTCAAATTTTTTTTTTGCAAATATAAAAAACGAAAAGTTGTGCTTAAAGTGCTGTAGATAATAAAGTAAGTCACAAATAAAATAAATAATAATTTCAAATTTTTTTGAATAAGACGAGTGGTCAAACGTTGCAAGCAAAAACTCAAAATCCCTTATATTATGAGACGGGGGGAGTATACTCCATCCGTAAAATAAAAAAAACATTCAATACTAATTATTAATTTATACATGTATTTGTTTAGATACGTAAGTTAGGATTGGATTTTCTTTTTCTTTTTCCTTTTACGGTGTGTGTACGTAATTTGCCATCAGCACCCTTATCAATTAACTTATTAACACCCTGTAAGCGGGGAACTCTTTCAATTCGGGTTAAAAATATTTAAATATTCAAATAGCTACAAAAATTTCTGAAAAGAATTCAACGACATTCATATAGCAAATACATATCCCTCTATAAAATCTTAAATATAAACTTAACTCACATATCAAGAAATAAAAAAAATACAACGTATAAACAACGCGAGTGCTATTCACTATCTTTTTCCCTTCTCAAATAAGTTTAAACTTAATTTTTGGTAGAGTGATGAATATCAATATACTCATTTTATTTTAAAATTTTCACAACCATTTACATTAAATTTAATTTTAAAAAGTGTACGAGAGAACATCCCAGTGTGCGACCTTCAACACTCGGTCATTGAAATGCACCGACAATATCACAACTTATTAAGAAGCAGATATAATTTAGTCTGACATATTTAAAATTTGCACCAACAAATCATTTATCTTGTTTTAAGAGTATGAATGTTATTAAATACATGTCACATGGTAACGTCGGTGTATTTTCTTTGACGAATAACACTAGGTGACACATCATTACTATTAATATACATTTGAAAAAAAAACTACAACCTAAAATACTACAATCAGAAAAAAAAGGAAAAAAAAAACAACAACACACTACGTGCCAACAACACTTGTGCACACACCCCGCTGAGGAAGAAACTTAACACTATGTCGGATGCGGCTATGTGTGACTGGATGTTGCCGCCAGGTTTACAATAGAGCCACGAACACACCACCTATCGCCAACACTTCCAAATAACTGATCACAATGCACGCCCGGATAACACCACAGTGAAGGGTTGTAGAGGGAGAGGGCAACAGAGAAGAAAGATCCACTCGTGCCTTGTATAGACCCACCGGCCACCGCCATAATAACATCCTAAGCGTCATCGCAGTCCAAATTGTCTAAAGATAGCATAGGTAGCCACATGACTTTCAAGAGATGACGTCCTTAAAAAGGTCGTGATGCTGTCGCCTATTCATGGACATGATTTTCACCTGGAAAGTTCCATCAGGGAGGTGGAAGATGCCTCGACAATGCTCCCAAAGGGGGCCATGGCGCCCGATCTCTACACTGTTGCCTGCCCAGGCTTAACGTCGGTCTAGACTTTCGTGTGGAACCTACCTTCCCCTTCTTGCCACAACCCCACCATCCTCAACCACCTCTAACTAACCATTGATATACCACGCGGCCATCACCACCACCAGTTGGCTCCCTCACGGCCACCCACAGCCTCACGTCACAGCTGCATGCCTACCGCTGTCGACACGCCCTCATGCAAAAGGTGTCAGCCTGACTAGCTACTCACGATCATCTCTGCTGGCAGCATGCCGTGCCTTTGGCCACCACCGAGCCGCCCCAGCACAAGCTCGAGCCATCTCCTTCGCCACCACCATGTGCTTCCAACGTAGATGTCACCCACGGTACGGTAGATTTGCTCTTAGAGGCGCCAGATCGATCCGTCGCTGCCACGGTCAACCACTACCTCCACCACCATGACTATCGTTGCCAGATCCGTCTACGCAGGTCGCCACATAATCGTTGCCTTAGGACGGCGTGCCGACCATCTTCTTTAGTAAGCATCACTCCCTGTCGCCACTGGCCGCTCCGCAATCCCCCCGCGATAGTTACCCATCGCGTCCACGGCCGCAACCACATGACACACTAGACCTGGATCCGATAGTCCTCGTCGTTGCTACCACACTCTCTACCCCGCTGCGCTCTATTGTCCCTCCTCCCACTAGCTGCTGGCCATAACATGTTAGATCTATGGAAGGGGTGGATCCAAAGTAGAACCATTGTCTCCCTAGTCGCCTCCATTGACATATATAGCGCCTCCAAGGAGAAAAGAGCCCTGCCAAAACTATTCTTGCAGTTGCTCAGCTTACCAGCAGGCTTCTTCAACGACGGCGAGGGGAGAGGGGAAGGAGGGAGGCGGTTGCGTTGTCCCGGGAGTCCGTTCGGGTCACCAATGAGACGACACAGGCGGGGCGTGTTTATAGTTGGCCATATGGGCCGCCCGGCACAGCTCAGGCCCGGTTGTGCTCGGGCCAAGATTTGTCAGGCCGACACAGCCCGACCTACATGCCGGACCGTGCCATGCTGTGCCGGCCCACGTGCTCCACCTGCGGCCTAGGCATGACCCAATAAGGGTCGGGCCATGCCGGGCTGACCCGAAGGCACGGGTAGCCCATCGTGGTTTCTTTGAAATAAGTCTATTTCCCCTCCCTACTCTTTGGGTTGTGACATATATATAGTTAAAATAAGTCTATTTTACATCTCTACTCCTTGGGCCGTTCCATATAATACGTCTATTTGTCCTCCCTATTCTTTGTGTCCTGTCTTACATATGGTTGAAATAAGTCTATTTCACCTCCCTGAAGTTCGTGCCGTGCCAGGCCGGCCCACCGTGCTGAGGCATAGGCCCAGGCACGGCCCAACAGCAGGGCCGTGCTAGCACATGCCTGACAGCGATCGGGCCGTACCGGCACGGGCCCGACAGCGATCAGGCCGTGGCGTGCCTGAGCCAGGCTAAAATCCCGTGCCTTAGGCCGGACCATCCGGCCTCGGGCCTTATGGCCAACTATCGTGTTGAAATGTTTTTCTGTCGGTGCATTTAATTTACTTATCAGTTATCAATACATGTTGAACACTAAGAGAGATCACTGCGGACACTAGTTGGCAAATCTCACTGCGAACATGCATACATGTACTACTACTCATAAAATCTACCAGTACTCTAGCTTGCTGGTTGATTGATTCATCATTCATTACAAATCGCAAATGCGCTCAACCGTACGACCGGAGTACGTCCGTACGTCGTCGTCTTCGTCACCGGTCGCCGCAGCAGCTGTAGCTATAGCTAGCGATCGACCTAAGCTAGTGTTGCTGTCGTCGCTTTCCAATGATGAGTTCTTTTATTCCCGGCCCCGGCAGAAGGTCGTTAGTTTTCAGTGAACGCATCGAGTGGATTCACCGCGTAATTTCGACGACACAATCATATTCGCCAGGGTTTCAGGATCGAATCGATCGATCTATCCGTCTCAATTCTCAGGTGAAGTAATAGTAATACCTTTTCTTATAAAAATGCCTACTTGCAGGGATGAACAGTCGCATGTACAAGGTGTGTGATTAAGGATTCCAAAATGCAAAATTTGCTACAGGACACTCAAAAAACGTGTAATTAGCCGTGAGACACCGTAAAAACATGAATTGGCTATAGGACATCGTAAAAGAGTGGTAATTAGCTACTGGACACCGGATACATTATTTTATTATTTCCGGTGAAAACGGAGAGAGAAACAATCAAAAAAGACCAGATTACCCTATGTGGGCCACGGATGTCAGCCTCTCCTCTATTTTCTTGGTCAAAGAGCGACATGGTGAGGGAGCCGCACCCGGAGCCGGACTCGAGCACGTGGCACCCGGGGACGAGCTCGAGGTAGGAGACGACGAGGCTGATGTCGGCGAGGTAGAGGATCTGCGTCCGGTGGCTGAGCATGAGCGTCCACAGCTCAGAGGTGGGCGCAAGGAGGTGGATGAACCCGCCCTTCCCCTTGCCTCCGGCGGTGGCGGCGCTGTGGACCTTGCAGCCGAAGGGGCGGCCGATCCAGTCATCATGGCGGAAGACGCCGAAGCGGTTCTGGAGCATGCATGCCCACAGCGCGCATGGCGTCGTGGCGCTCGTACACCACGACGGTGTCCCCCTCCGCGATGCAGCGTTGGGAGGTGGGCTTGGATGACGGATCCAGTGGTGTTAGATTTGTTTGTGTTTTACCTTCTAATCCCCCTTTTAATTCTGAGATACGTCCAAGGTGTTTTGGTTTGGCCGTATCCGTTTGGGAGAAATATCCCACAGCAACCATGAGGTCGACGCCGGGGTCGGGGCCCTAGACGTACAGCATCACACGCGAAGCCGGCTTGGACTCGACGCGGAACGACCTGCCGATCTCGTCCAGCGCCAGGACCTGCCCGCCGTTGAGCCACTGGCTGTCGACGGCGATGGCGACGTTGATGTGTTCTGCGGCTTGCCGGCCACCTGCCCGCCGACGCGCACCCACGCCAACACCTGGTATGTCGCGTACAGCGCCAGCTCACCTCACCCTGTCCCCGCCTCTCCTCCCTGCCGTCCTCGCTTCCTGCAACGGTCGACGCGGGCCGCCGGGGCGGAGCCGGAGGTTGCATGCTCCCGCCGTGGCTGCGATGCTGCCCCGGTGGAGTGCGCTCTACTCGCGGCGGGTGCGTCGCTGTCGCCGTCGCCGCCGAGAACATCGCAAGTGGGAGTGAACGGGACGATGGTAGCGTGCGACGTGCTACTGCCGGGTGAGGCTGAGGCGGCCGGCGTGCGCAGCACCGGCGGGGAGGGCGGCGAGGAGGCTGGAGAGGGAGTGCTTGCGGCCGGGGACATTTCAGTACTTTTAACGCTCTTTCTCTCTCCGTTTCTACCGAAAATAATAAAATAATGTCTCTAGTGTCCAGTAGCTAATTACCACTCTTTTGCGATGTCCTACAGCCAATTTATGTTTTTGCGGTGTCTCGCGGCTAATTACACGTTTTTTGAGTGTCCTGTAGCAAATTTTGCCAAATCTTAATTGTGTGTAGTACTTGATCTGTTATATTTTCTCTTAGTTTCCGTTAACATACTTTTCAAACTCTGTTAACTACTAAACAGAGTGGTTCATGCGAAAATTTTCTATATCAAAGTTAGTTAAAAATGTGAAATAAATCAATTTATCAAGGCAAAATAATTAAAACTTAATTAATCATACGCTAATGGCTTTCTCATTTTACATGTGTTAACTTAATTTTTATCTTCATCAGGATACTTAGTTAGCGGAATATAAAGAGTAAAGTAATGTATATTCATCATATTAACAAAAGGGGAGGGGTAACGGAAAATAATAGCATCATTCCAAGCTCTAAGTCGAGCTCGAATCGAACCTAGCTTCAGTAGCCCATAAGATCAAGTTGGTACCATGGATTTTTTTTTTCTTAAATTTACTAACGGTATGTGGTAGAATATAAGTGAATCTTTCATCTTTTCTTATCATTTTCAACTTTTAAAGTGAACTGATTGGGGCATGTAAATCAATATGATAAAAAAAAATGCCAGAGAACTTGAAAGACCCGATGAAGCCTCTATATGAGAAGAGCTTAATTGATATAACAATGTAGGTCAACTTCATTATTTACCTACAAATTAAATCAAGCACGCCGAGTTTAGATTACATTGGACACCATATTACATCTACGCTAGTCCCACTCATTTGAAATGAAAGATAATTTCAAGCACAATAACTGAATTCCCCACAAGAATTCAGAGGATAACACAAAAAAGTTCCCCTAGCTAGCCAACAATATCAACATGATCAGAGATTAAAAAAAAAAAAACACCAAGAACTTTGTCTTTTGCTCTACTACCATCTGCGTGTCAGTATAACGTGACTGCTCAAAACTCAAAAGCAGTACCTGACAGAGATCCATACATTTTCACATGGCATAGGCAGAGCAGCATTTTCAGCAGAAGTACATGAGTTTGCATTGCATGCTATACCCATCAGATTGTTGCATGCTTCCTCTCTGTTCTTTTGACCAGAAATTTCATCCATGGCTGCATTTTGATGTAGCTTTGGAGGCCAATCTTTTCTCCTGCTTACTTACCTGCAGAGTATGCAGACCAGCCTTTTCTGGCTGTCATTTGCATTTTGTCACCTGGATATGCATTCAGCCAATTAAATGGGGTCTTGTGTACTTTGGATTCCAATATATGGAACTGTTTTGTTCACTTGCTGTTCCTTGTCGTCACCTCCTGTGTATAAAATCAGTACATGTAAATCAGGCCCAAAAAGTTGGTGAATTTCTCAAGTTAATTCCTTGATGTGGGTGAATTTATAAAATTAGTGTAATATGTGGAGTCCTGGAAATTTCATTCAGGAGCTGTGTATGTTTATTGTAATTTTTTTCTTTTAATAATAAAAATTCCCAGTGATACTCATTTATTGTTTATAAAATTCCAGTATTTTCGTGCTTTCATTCAGTATAAAAATTCCCAGTGCTTACATATATAATTCTGTACTATTTGCATAAGAAACTGAAAATACTGGTTTAAGCGATTGTCAAATTAAGGCACACATACATATTTGTACGGTCATATAGTACGTATCAAGGAATTTAGAAAATACCATACCAATATTAATTTACCGAAGTGTCCATTTTGGACCGACATGCATGCCATCATCTATACATATGCTTCTCATATTTCTAGGATAAATATTTTACAAATTATTCATAGCTAAAAGATTTGAAAGTTGACATCATTCTTATCCAAAATGAATGACGAGTATTATTAATTGAAAGGAATAACTTTTTTTCACAACCTTACGAACCAATTTAATAACCATAAATTAAGAATTAATTTGGCATCGTAGTGGTTTCAAAAGCACCAACTCATTTTGGATTTGGATTCAGAGAATTAGTTGAAACTTGAAACTCAGAAGCATCTTCTAATTTGGAGCTGTAACTTTGCCCGTGTACATCCATTCAGGAAGTAGAGGCGAGATTTTAATCCATTATTAAAAAATTAAAATTTGGATCTGTAACAAAAGATTATTACTGGAACCAATAAAGATTCACTAATTAAGTAGCATCGGAAGCGACTAATACATAACCCAACAACCACAAACTGCTCCTGAACACAAAAGGAAGACAAATTAAACAAACAAACAAATAAATGAGCAGCCAGACGAAAATTTACCCTTCTTTCAAGTTCACCAAATGAAACAACTATTAGCAATTTCGATCACCAACCTTATTATGTACACGCGGAATAATTATATAATTAAGCTCAGCTCATGATTATTGCCAATTAGTAATTAAACAACACAAATATATGTACAGCAAAAGAGAGAGAAATTAAGTACTCAAATTAACGCTCACAAGTTGTGCAGCGGATTTGATCCAGTCGGCGAGAACCTCTTGTCGTCGCTGAAGAAGCCATCGTCGCCGCCGCCGCCGGTGCCGGTGCCGAACCGCCGTCGGGTGAAGGCGGCGTGGCGGCTCTGATCCTTCCAGTGCTGCCCATGAGCCGACGACGACGGCGAGGCGCCGTTCTTGGAACCGGGAGGCGGCCGCGGCCGCCGCTGCTGCTGCTGCTGCTGCTCCGGCGACGACGACGGGACGACGGCGGCGGCGACGGCATTGCCGAGAAGCGAGGCTCCCCTCAGCGCGAGAGGGACGATGATCAGTGTCACCACCATGGCAATCTTGATGCAGTTCATGGCACTCTCTCTTACTTAATTATTAGCCTCTCTCTCTCTCTCACACACGTACACTCTCGAGAAGAGATAGAAATGGAGCTATAGCAAATTATGTGCTAGCTACTTCGTCGTTGTGGCCATGAAATACTCGGCAATGATGGATACAGTCTTACATAGGCCTTCTTTGTGTTGGCAGCTTCTGTAACTACTCGTAAAATCTCCAACTACATAAATAGGGGTGTGTTTAGTTCACGGCAAAATTAGAAGTTTGGTTGAAATCAGAACGATGCGACGGAAAAGTTGAAAACTTGTGTGTATACAAAGTTTTAATGTGATGGAAAAATTAGAAGTTTTTTTTTAAAAAAAATTGGAACTAAACTCGGCCTAGATCATGCTCACGTCCAAATTTCGAGACCATTACTAAGATATTTTACAAAGATCTTTACCGGTAGTAGAAATAAATTTAGTCGGCTCATCTTTTTATTAGTAATTTATTTATATTATAGTCTGAACTATTGATAGTAGAATGTATAAAATTAACGGTTAAAATCAGTTCGACTGATAACATACTTACACAATTGAATACTATCAGTACAAACTATCATAATATCACTATAAACTAGTAGTAACCAAAAGCTGAGCAACTCAGTTTCTTTTCTCACCCACTACTAACCAACTACTTAGGCTGTGTTTAGATCAGAGGTGAAAAGTTTTGACGTATCACATCGAATATACGGATACACATTTGAAGTATTAAACGTAGACTAATAATAAAACAAATTACAAATTCTGCCTGTAAACTGCGAGACGAATTTATTAAGCCTAATTAATCCGTCATCAGTAAATGTTTACCACATTGTCAAATCATGGAGTAATTAGGTTTAAAAGATTCATCTGGCAATTCACACGCAATTCGTGTAATTATTTTTTTGTCTATATTTAATACTTTATACATGTGTTCAAACATTTCATGTGACAGGGTGAAAAGTTTTTACGTGGGAACTAAACATGAAATCTTTAGCCCTCAAATAGGGGAGAGAGGGAGAGAGAATGTGGCTGTGAGAGTTAAGCCGTTTTGTTGTGTGGTTGGGCCAAACGAACAAAGAAGGCAGCTAGATAGCTAGTTGCTGCTGACAAAAAGGCCTCCTCATTCCTGAATGAATGCATGTAATGCCGGTGCAACAGCTCTGATCGATTGGACGTGTGATGACTCATGAATGGTCGATCCGTCCCTTCCTTGAAATTTTTACCGGAACCAATTGACTGAGGCCGTGTTTAGATTCATTTTCTTTTTTTCTTTACCAAAAACGTCACATCGAATATGTAGGCTCATGCATAGAGCATTAAATATGGACGAAAAAAAATCAATTGCACAGTTTATATAAATTGAGAGATGAATCTTTTAAGCCTAATTACGCCATGATTTAATAATGTGATGCTACAGTAGAAATTTACTAATGACAGATTAATTAGGTTTAATACATTCGTCTCGCAGTTTACAGGCGGAATTTGTAATTTGTTTTGTTATTAGACTACGTTTAATACTTTAAATGTATATCACATTCTTAAAAAAATTGGCCAAAGGACTAAACACAGCCTGAGCCGATAATGCCAACTACCCCTCTATCCAACGGATGTTCGCGGCAAAGTGATCCAACGGATATATGCTCCAGCTCGCTGTATGTCAAGAAAGCTTATGTATGTATCAAGAATTCTCTTTTTTTTTTCCTTAAACAAGCAGAGAGCTGCGTGTCATTTTAGTAAATAAAAAACCAATAATACATTACAACCCACGTTGACAAGTTAAAATAGACGCGCCACTTAATCAAGAAAAAAAGATCAAAGGACACTAGGAATAGGAATAGGGGCCTAAGCTGTCCCGACCCACAAACTCTCAAGATCATTAGCTCCAACAGTACACCGCAGATTGCCTTTTGCACTCAAAGGACAAATACCATGCTTACACGCTTGGGGCATCTCTGAATCATCAAGAATTCAAAATGTCATTATGGACACACATGTATTTAACATGGCCCATATATATACTCCATCCACAAAAGTTACATCTATTACTTTTTGTCACCAAGACAAAGGAGAAATTAAATCATCTTGGATATTACAAAATCAAGGAGTGAATGCAAGCATGCAACCAATGAGTATTTAGATGACTCCTTGGATTCTAATTAAACATTTAATTTATCTCTTCTTTTAAGTCTTGAATGCATAAAGACTAAAAAAAACTACTTATTTAGAAAAACTCAAATGTGAAATATGTCTAACTTTTGTGGATGGAGGGAGTACATCGGAAACCGAACGTGGAAGTACACCATAGAAGATTCAAACTGATGACGACATCGAGTAACAATATTTGTTAACAAGGTTTAACTAAAACCTATATCCCTGGAGGCACTAATTGCTTATGCCTCTCTGAGTTCTCTCCGATCCAATATAATTATAGCGTATCAGAATTACAATGATCCTCTAGCGGATGTTGTCCGTAGCCATTTCCTCTTACTTATGCTAAGTCACTATGCGGTTTCAACCGGTATGTCCCTTTATTTAAGAGAGAACCTATGACCTTAAGTCGCCATGTGGTTACAACTGGTGTGCCGAACGTGGAAGAACACCATAGAAGATCCAAACTGATGATGATATAGAGGCACCATATTTATTAATGAGGTTCAGCAGAAACATTCATCCCTAGGACATTAATTACATGAGCTTTTCCCCGATCCTTGGCCGGTGTTAGCCATTAATTCCCTCTCACCTATGCTAAGTCACCATGCGGTTACAACTGATGTACCTCCCTATTTAAGAGAGAGCCTAGGGTAGAGTACAACTCTATTGCTATCCTAATACCTATTATAACTTCAAGTTTTACACTGTAATCGACTTTGTACACATATTCAACACAATCTAACAACACACTCATTTAAGAGTCTCGTTATTTCAACTTTGACGGATAGGATATCATGCACCCACAACTCCATCACGACAACTTCATCACGATACCAGCAGTGTCTGATTAAGAAGACCCGGTCATGCGTCGACTTGTCTTATAGTAGTAGATTATTATAATCATCTCCTTTGGTTGAAACCTTAAGAAAGTGGGTGTTTAGATCGAGTGGTGTAAAGTTTTGACGTGTCACATCGGATATTATATAGGGTGTCACATGGAATGTTCGGGCACTAATAAAAAAACTAATTACATAATCCATCAGTAAACCACAAGACGAATTTATTAAGCCTAATTAATTCATCATTAGCAAATGTTTACTGTAGCACCACATTGTCAAATCATGGAGCAATTAGGCTTAAAAGATTCGTCTCGCAAATTAGTCGCAATTTGTGCAATTAGTTATTTTTTAGCTTATATTTAATACTTTATACAGGTGTTTAAACGTTCGATATAACATGGTGTAAAATTTTGGGGTGGGATCTAAGGGCCAAAGTAACAAAGTGTGCTTAGAAGAGAGCCCCTTGAGCTACAACAGTGTATATGAACAGCGAAGCTGATGCGAGGATCTACATAATCTCTGCACAAAGTGAGAACTACATTGTACTGAGGAGTACTACAACTTAGCAAGTGACCAATGCATTGCTGCATGAGAGTGTGTGCCGGCCAAATCCAGAGCTCTCCCTAGATAGCTCACATTTTGCAACAGCAGCAGAGCTAGCTAGCTGCAATGCAACCATGAAGCGTTCCATCCATCAGCAGCAGCATCTGCCAAACTTTTCTCATATGCATTTGCAGCTTCAGTCTCACTGGTCAGCTGCAGTGCCATGGAGCTGACTCATGGCTGCATGCATATGCTTGGCTGCTTGCTTGCTGTCCCAGAACTGGAAATCGGAGGCTAGCTACTGACGGCCATTAAAATCGCAGAAATTCCGGTTATTACAAAGTCTGCATGTACAGCACCATCACTGTGTGCACTGCAAGCCTGCAGCTTGAACACATGCATCGCATTTTGGTTTTTGAGCTTAGCTAGCCGAAATGCATCCTCCTTGTCCCATTGCTAGCTCTGAATTTTTCTGATGCATCATGTTCAGACATCGTGTGTGTAGGGCTGTAGCTTGCCTTCGGTGGTAAGGAGGGGAACATGGTTCATGGCTCTGCTGCTTGTGCTGCATCAGGAATTCAGGATTGTGTTCTTGCAGGATAGTAGGCAGAGACAAAGTTAAGAGTCTGAAGTCTTAACAAGTTTGTGGCTCTGTGCATGGAGATTCACGCATTGGGTTCTTGTCATGATGTTTAATTGTTAGTTATTGTCTCTAGCAAAAGATTCATCTAAGACTCTAGGTCCTCTGATTACAGATGAGCCAGTTTAGCAGTAAAAAGTTAAGGTTTAAATTTTGCATTATATTTTTGTAGCATGCTATTGTGTTAGCATCTTTCTTGGATACATTTTATAAACTTGACAAAACTTCCAGAACCAAACATGTTACTTACTCCAAACTAACCTACACATTAAACTTACCAAGCCAGATTTGACTTCTGACAGAAGCAAACCAAACATATCTACCAAAAACTCTGGAGAAAAGAAAAACTCTCTGACACAACAGACTATATCTTACCAAAAGATAAAAAAGGAGGGGATAGAGAAGTCACAGATGCAAAGTACAACCCAGATTGTAGCAATGTATCCTCCTTATTTTTAATCATCAGAGTCACCCAGAGATTTCGGTAGGGCACACAAAGAGTAACTTATTTTGTCATCAACTAATATAACTAAAATAATACTCTAGTTAAAAAAGCTGAGTTAATGTCTGAAACATCCGTTTCTTCCTCAGTTCATCCTCATCTCCCTATTTTGGAGTTCTGAAAATTATTGTATGTGAGCATAACAAACAGGCCATTTCATCACCTTGGCCCTGAGAGCTCAACAGCTTCCAACTGAATTGAATTGCACTCATCTGAAGCAAAATTTACAGGGGATGACAGCATGAACTCCGGCGTGCTCGGTTTCGATCTCTCGGCATCTTTCAGAGTCTCCCATTTCTCCACAACTGAACCATCACTCTCTTGCAGCATTCCAGCAATCTCAGCCATACTTGGTCGTTGGTCAGGGTTGTACATTGTGCAGAGCAAAGCTATCTTAACCATTTCCTCCAACTCAGCAATGACATAGTTGTCTCTCAGTCTACTGTCCACAAATGACCTTAGCTTATTTCCTTCAAGAAGCTCCTTTGCCTGCAATAGGTATGCACGATTGTGTGTGATTAATAGCAGTTCATGGCAATTGAAATAAACTAAGAAACATTGTTTTTGAGAATTATTGAAGTGCATGTGCATAAATAAGATCTTGTACAGTGGAGTTACTTATTTCCATATTTGGCCAAAGTTTCACACTGGTATATGTGTTAACAAATGTTAATCTTCAATTTTTTTCTCCATTGATATTTTTTCTCTCAACCAAGATAATATTTTCATAAATGTGTTTTTTTGTCATATTTCAGTTTGCTGATATACTATTTTGTACCATTGGATTGTATTCTATTGGCATGAACACAACCAAGTATGTACAATATTAGGAGTTAAAGCTATGGAACTTGTGGAAATGAACTAAATCAAAACATCACACTTTTTTAATTATGGAACAGAATAAGCTGAACTTGTAGAGGGAAAAAAAACAGGGAGTAGCTAGTAATTTACCCAATCAAGAATTCCTCCCTCCTGATACTCATCCTCATGAAGCTCCATCGTTTTCCGACCGGTGATTAACTCGATCAACAAGAATCCGAAGCCGTAAACATCGGTCTTCTCTGATGTTTGGCCAGTCATCAAATACTCTGGAGGAATGCGTCCCATTGTCCCCCTCACTGCTGTGACAGCATGAGACTCACCATGATCCAAAAGTTTTACAAGTCCAAAATCTGCCACAACTGCTTCAAAATACTCATCAAGGAGAACATTGGAGGCCTTTATGTCGCGGTGGATAATTTTCGGATCACATTGCTCATGCAAATAGACCAACCCGCGTGCCGCGCCTAGCGCTATCTTCCTTCTCCTTGTCCAGTCTAGAGTAGGTTTACCACCCACATATTCTGACAAAGTGAGGAAAAACAGTTAGTTCAATTTGCTCATAGAAAATGAAAATACTTAGTTCAGAAAACATTGTTTGTGTGTGGCAATGAATGAAGAACTTATACATCATTTTCATATAATTCTTTTCACCAGTCAATGCCCTATTGACTCAGTTTCATACTAACACAAATATATGTAATGAAGTCTATAGGAACAAACAAAAACAAACATGATGACTCTAATCTAAAGAAAGAACAGAACAACTGAAAATAAAGAACTCTGTACTATATATCTTTTGGCTTTCTCCCAAATGCCGGGTCAATGTATTTATATTCGGTCTAAAAATACTGAAAATAAACATGAATGTCAGTCTGTCAGAGAAAGGGTAAATCCCAAGGACACTTAAAAAAAAAACATCTGATTGTTTAGAAACATCATGTATCAACTAATAGATACCTTTTGTTATACATCCTTTGGAGGGAGACAATAATGACAGTACACAAGATGCACATAGTTTTTAGCACTTGTACCATTAACAGTATAATATGCATAGACCAAGAAAACAAATGTGATGGTAAAATATAGACCACCTTACATAAACATTTGCAAATAAGGCAAGGACAACATGTATAATCACCTTACATATGGTTAGCTAAGGTATATTATGTTATTATAGTGTTCCATCTTTGATTGGTAGGCTATCAATATTTTCTTTTCATTTTGAAAAATCAAGGCAAATCTCAAGTACACACCAACTTTAACTTTGATATATTCAGAAAGTGCACTATAGTTTTTTAATGAAAAAAACTAACATGTAGTACATATTTTTGAGAAATATATTACTGCCTTGTATAATTAACATCTATACTTTACATCCATTAGAAAATATAGGACTTTGAGAAAAATAGGACTTTGGCATGCCCCATGTGTGTCAGTGTACATCATGCATAAATGACAAAAGAATATACTGAAGCATGGGACTAACCTTGTAATTTAGAAGAAACAGTTCCATTTGGCATGAAAGGGTATACAAGGAGCCTTTCAGTGTCTGTAATACAGAACCCAGTAAGACGAAGGAGATTGCGATGAACAATCAAGCTTATTACTTCAACTTCTGTGTGGAACTGATCATCCCCACAAACAGAAAAACAATCTTTCATCCTTTTAACAGCAACAATTGTGCCATCGCGCAAGCGACCCTTGTATACTATTCCAAATCCTCCCTGCCCCAAAATGTTTCTTCGGTCGAAGTTATTGGTAGCTTCTTTGATCTCCTTGATCATGAACTGCTTCAGATGGCCTAGGTATATTTCTGGTCCTGGATAAATATGATCACATTCAGGAATCAGAGTACTGCACAGTAAAATTAACATAACTCTATAGTCATGCTATTGAAGAAATAGTTAAAATGCCTAAACTGAGGAAAACACGGTATTTGGCTAGAGCCCAAATGTTGTATCATACTTAGAAATTGTTGGTGTTTTTAATCTAAAAAGACAAAAATGGGAAAACTATACATAAGCATATATGAAAAGCAACCATGCATGGGCATGACTAGTATCAACACAAAAATATGATTAGTTATGTGAAATGTTAATGCAGTTCGACCCCTCTGCACTATTAGGATTTTCTTATCAGCATTGAATTGGTTCTCATATATTATATCCAGTTGTTAACCATGTACCAAATGGTAGCAAAGCTAAATCAATGGTCAAAGGGAAAGAGATCCACACAAAAATATGAATATCAAACTTTTCGAGTCAGTGCACATGATAGAATATCTTTAAAAAAAGGTGCAGAAAGATTATAATATATTTTTCTAGAAAGTCTAATATCTAAATGTCCTACTGCAGATCAAGATTAACAAGCTCTGGATCTCTCCCTCACCTATACTTTTCAGCACATAAAAAAATGCCATGGCCACCCATATCCCACTCATGCCTCTCTTCGGACACAATCGGCACCACCTGTCAATTCCCCCACCTACCTATCTCATCTTCAACACCATAATTAGCTCCTCGTGACCAGGCCACCCATCCTAGGGCAGTGGCGGAGGATAAACTGAAAAAAGGCATGATGGCTGACACAACATTGCCACAATGATGCTTAACGGCAAACACCCCGTGTGGTTGTGCCACGTGCCCTAGCATGCACCACCGGGCGCTCAACGGCGAACACCTTATGCAGCTGTGCCACGTGCCGCCGGCCACTCCTTGGCTCCGCCGCACCTAGCCGCCACAAGCACCTCCAATCTCCCCTGCTCGGTCTCGACTATATATGGCGGCGCTAGGATTTGGTACTTATTGCTCTGACCTACCACCCATGGCCCACAAACTAGTATCATATATAATACCTATATTGAACCAGGCCCACGACCCATGAGCATATGGTGCGCTGTCGCCTCACACAGGCGAAAGGTGCATCCATGGGTTTTGTTAGCTAGAAACGCGAGGTCGAGAAGGGGGCGGGGGGGTGCTCGTTGGCAAATCAAGACTATATTGTGACATGCCATCTGCTCTGTCATAAGGGCTGAACCAGCCATGGGCCAAGCTAGTGTTTGCCCATTTGATCATGGTCCAACTTGTACTGTAGTCCAGATAGCCTAAGTCTTGGTTTCGCACATACAACTCTCATGCTCTATACCCTTCCGTATTGTTTTGTCATTCCCCTTTTGCCACTTCAGATGAACATGACCTCAACCATCACCATCTTTCATATCACACGCTCTACGGCACTTAATAATAACTCAACACTTTGAACCATCATTGGTGAACTCAAGCACAGTCAACATCCCCACTTGTCACAAGCACCGACGTCACATATTGCTGCACCCCATGCTACTTACCCTAAGGATCCAAAGTTGGGTAACCACTAACCAAAACACCCTAGAACCTGTACTATGACACAAAAGAATATACAACTCTATTTCGGTCAGTCTTATCTTTATATATAGTGTAGGAAGCATTGGCAAACAACTCTAAGTAAGCCTACCTCTGCTATGCATGTCAATCCATGACAATGTTCGTGGCTTGATCTCTTTAGCCCGATTGAATCATGAATAACCGTTAACCACGACAATGTCGTACCGTCATTTCAAAGACATGTACTCTATTTTCCTTAATTCTACCCCAAGTAAGGTTTGGTAAATAAAATGTTATAATTATATAACAATAAGAGAATGAAATAATGAAAGATATCATCATGGACCATCATAAAAATATGTGAATTGCAAAATACCATTGTGTGCGAGAATGACACGTGGCACTAGATCCATATGTCAATAGCACGTATGATGGTATTGTCCAACTCCATGATTTGTTTTAGTGTTTAAAGAAAATTGGATATATTGGCATGTAACTTTTGATGCATTGGCAAAAAAGAAGAAGAAGATGCTAAGGCAGCATTGTAGGCGAGCCTAGTGCTTGTTGTGATCTCATGAAGGCTGGTTGTGAGAAGGTTTTTCATTCTAGCTACCTTGGTGTTTTATGTATGCGATCAGAGTTCCAATCATAAATCATTATTGTTTTCCTTCTAACTTAGTATCGCGTTCATAGGAACATGTTATTATGTGCTCCTACTCACTTTGGTATGGAAATATGTGGCCTGAGTATCTTGATACAAATGTTTCAGACCCTCGCAAGATTACTTTTTGTACAGAAGTTAATGCGCTAAACCTGTAACAAAATTAGCTAACATGTAGAACCTCAAGAGAACTCTCCACTTTATTGGACTTAATGCAAACTTTCCTCTAATATCACAGTGCAAACCCTCCACCAACAACATTAAAACATAAAACATTATTATGTTGTATATAAGTGCCAAAAATGGCAAGCACTCCCAAAAGAAAAAAAACAATCAGGGTGACTCCAAAGTTAACCTATTGATATTTTGACCTATACTGCCCCCTTGCAGGTAGATATCATAACAAATCTTGCACATATATGCAGTACTACTTGAGATGTCATTACCATCGAAATCAGCAAAGATCTGGTGTCGCCTACGCCACTGCGAAATAGACGCGACAAATCCAGCAATCAAGAAAACTATTAGAAGAACAGCTGCTATGTAGAATGAAACACGCCGAGCAGTTCCTGCCAAGCCTTTCCTGTGAACTGGGAAGAGAAAATGACTCTAATTAGAACATGCAGGAGGGCATGAATGCCCAAACTTGCTTGCTTCACACAAATTTGTTTAAATAATGGTTCATATGCAGTTAAATGTCCCAGAATTTGGGTGGTGAACAATTTGTATTACTGATTGGTTCTTCTATGCTGACAGCAACTGGTTCTTCTGCTGCAGAAGGGACAGCAATCGTCTCTTCTATCACAGAAGTACAGGTTCCTTCACAACTGAAGTTTTGTATCAAAGGATTTCCACGAAGGCTTATCAAGTATGACAAGTGAGAAAAACAGAGAAAAGAGAAGGCAAATTAGTGGTAACCCCTGAGAGATAATGTTGAGACAGGTTGCACTATTTAGTTAGACCAAGAAAGAAAAACTCATTCTAAATCACTTACAATACACTATTCGCGCTAAAAACTGGTGCTGGACCACTCAGGTTGTTAAAGGATAGATCCCTGAAATAGTTCAGCTCAAGCTCAATATCACAACAAAAAAAGTTTACAAAAACAATGAAGCAATAAGTAGAAGTTGGCAAGGAGAATTATACAGGAGGACAATGCTGGGAGCAGTGGCTAGTGAATCAGGTATAGATCCAGATAAATTGTTGTGGCTCAATCTCCTGGAGGAATGAGGCAAGCAGAAAAAAAAATCAGGTGGTCCAATTCATGTTCATATCTGTTATGCAACAACAAAATAACAATGCCTTCAAATCAAAAAACATAAGAGTATTTTGAGGCATTCTTAGTATTGTACTACCACCGGTATTATCACTAGTACAAACAATCAGAGCCATTATGCAACAAAATAACAATGCCTTCAAATCAATAGTCATAAGAGTACTTTTACCGTATTCTCTACCAATAGTATTCTACTACCAGTATCATCTCTAGTACAAGCAATCCGAGCCGTTGATTTATACGTTCTACTACCGGTAGAAATAATTATTCTACAATTTCTACCTTTATTCTACAACCAGTAGATCAGGTGATAGTAGAAACAGATATAGTCCATTGGATGAAAAAAAAAACATGGAATGTCTAGATTGATTATACTTCCAGCAGACACCACTATAAAAGTAGTCTAATCATAAATGCTAATCTTACATGAGGAAGATGCCCTTGGAATGTCCCAGTATGCTTGGAATAGTGCCTGTGAAGTGATTATATGCCAGGTCCAGCGTTTGTAGCACCTTCAGCCTGCCTATGGTGTCAGGAATAGGGCCAGAAATTGCATTGTGTTGCAAAAACCTGCACAAAATTCAAACCAAATTCCTCATTTCCTGAGATTATCTGTCTATAACAGTGAAAAAAGCCTTGTCTTGGAATGTCTGGATTCGAAAAGAGACCCATGCTCAGTGAGAATTGATGTTTCACATTTTGTCCAAAATTCTCTTGTTCCAAACAGGGGTAAAACAATCGCATCGATAATTTATACTACTTAAAATATTGGTATTGGTGGTGTTCATTTGCACACCATCCCTACTAGTAACATCTGAGCCCCATAATCTATAATATTACACCACATTTTAATAAGTCCTCCCCTATTTCACTATAGGCTCCCCCAAATTTCAAAATTACTTACTTGTTCAATAAAAAAATCATAGTATTACTTAGACTAAATGAGTGCTTATTAAATGATTTAATAAGCTAGAAATTCAATTTGGGATGAGTTTGTTTCCTAATGTTCCCAACTCCTCCTCTCTCCCGTTTTTCACACGCACGCTTCCCAAACTACTAAATAGTGTGTGTTTTGCAAAAAAAAAATTATAGAAAAGTTGTTTTAAAAATCATATTAATCTACTTTTTTAAAAATAGCTAATACTTAATTAATCATACGCTAATGAGTCGCTCCGTTTTACGTGATCGAGGAAATAGTTCCCAACTACAACCAGCGAACTCAGCCTTGTTTTCCATTGCAAGGCACGGGCTCTAGGCTAGTAATCTAAAGATTATATATACAGGTTAGGGTTTCACATTTTGGAAAGAAGAAATAAATAGAGGGCCTTGAAAAAAATGGGGGTGGGGGGGGGTGCTGGAGGATTCCAAAACTTCAGAAGATCTAACGAATTTTCCAAGAAAAAAAAAAGAAACATGTACATATTTTTGCTGAATTTGAAGAAACTCACACTTAGTTCAAAACAAATTTTATATTTCTGGTGGGAGCCACTTCCTGAATGGATCCACTGTAGATCCAGGCTGTGTTTAGTTTACGTTAAAATTGGAAGTTTGGTTGAAATTGGAACGATGTGATGGAAAAGTTGGAAATTTATGTGTGTAGGAAAGTTTTGACGTAATGGAAAAGTTAGAAGTTTGAAGAAATATTTTGGAACTAAACACGGCGAAAATTCTGTAAACTTTCGGTTGGGAAGAACGAATTCCAGATGAATCAGAACAAAATTAAATTTCCCAAAATTCCCTTGAAATTTCTAGGTCTCAAACGGAACGGGCACCGATCGAGTAAACAGTTAGAGAGAATCAATCCGTACAGGAGTCGCAGCCGCCTGAGTTTCCCGATCGCCGGCGACAGCGTGCCGGACAGATTCCGGTGAGCCAGATCGCTGCAAAACCGAACAAAAAAACGGAGAGAGATCGATCCATCAGTCCGAGCTCCGGCGAACCCGCCATGGCCGGCGGCGACAAGCACAAGCACAGAAGAAAATGGACAACTAGATAGCTAGTCAGCACATACAGCACGGACACATGGCCGGTCTTGGAGCAGGTCACCATGCTCCAGTTGCACGGGCCGCCGCCGCCGCCGCCGCCGGCGACGACCACGCCGCCTGAGCCGGCGTTCCAGTCGGCGAGGACGTTGGCCGTGTCATGCAGCGCCGCCTTGACGGCCAGCAACGCCTCCGCTGCAAGACGCACGCGAATGCAGCAAGAAAAACCGGGTGAGTGAGTGCAGCAAGAACTGAAAATTTTTCAGTTGCAAATTCGCAATATATATATATCAAGAAAAGATTGATATATTTGGAAGAACTTTTATCATCATGATTCAAGCAAGAAAGAATAGCATGAGCTAAGAAACCAATCAAAGATCAAACTAAGATGAGAAGACAAGGCTTGCGATCAAAGAATTTTTTATTTTATTTTCTTTTTTTGCGTGTTCAGCACCTTCACCTTCACCTTCGCCGGCGGCGGCGGCTGGGGAAGAAAGAACATCCGGCGGCGCCGCGGGCGCCACGCCGGCGGCGGCGGAGGAGGCGGACACCACGAGGCTCAGAACCAGCACGGCGAGCAAGGAAGCAGCAGCTCTCCGCTCGTCCATGGCGTCGCGCGCTCGTTCGTCGGCGTCGCGCTCGTTCGTCGGTGACTCGGTGTCGTCGCGTCCAGAGCGCGCTATAGGCTATAGCCCAAAGCGAACCGCTCGTGCGAAGGAGGAGACGAGACGCTCGCGATCGAACACTTCCAAGGCCCCGCGCGCGGCGCGCCCGCTACTGGACGCGACATGAAACGGAAGCGAGAGCAGCAGCAGCCGCAGTGACGATGGCGAGAGAGAGAGAGAGAGACGCGGTTGATGCCATCGCGCGCGCTAGCTAGCTGGCCACTTGGCGCGCTCCCCCGCTCTGGCCGCGCCGCTCGCCTTGTCCGCTAGCGCCGCGCGCGCCCGCCCGGGCGCGCCATGGCGCGCCGCCCCCCCAGCGACGTCGGTTACCGGTGGCGCGCCGCGCGCGCGTGAGCGGCGCCATAGCCTGTGGCTGCTGCGATGACGCCATGGCCGGGGGCGATGCGCGCATGCGTGACGTAGGCGCAGCCTTGGACTTCTCTTCTGACTTTTGGAGCTTCAGTAAAAATGAAGAGGAGCAAATCTGGCAGATTGTGATTTTTTTTGTTGTTGGTGTAATCTTGTGATTAACTCACTGCATCAGTTATAAGCTCAAGCTGGTGATTGATGATGTTGTGTGTGTTTGCTTGTCTTTTGTTAAAGGGAAATTGTAACTGTTGTGATGAGCCATGAAAATGTGGGGTGAACTGAACTGAAACTTTTGGGGAAAGGTATGTCAAAACATTCAGATGTTGCAACAATCTGGTTTTGATGCAACTGTACAGATGTTACTTTACCGACAGATTTACAGTCATGAAGAGATATCAGGATGTGCTGCATTTTCTAATGTAAAGTTTAAAAAAGTCTCCTCAAGATCATATTTTTTTTTTGTCTTAGCATACAACCACAAAAATGTGGTCTTTGTGAAACATGGAAGATCAGAAAACCACATATACATATAGGCCTAAATAGTAAAAAAAAATCTATTGGAATTTTTCAATCATGCAACACCAATTGAGTTCCAGTGTATTCACTTAAGTTGTCTATACTATCATCAACAAACTTTTAAAAATAATTGAGTGAGTAGGTTATTTAATACCATATCTCTATATCTTTTACACAATTGTCACTTAGTGAAGAGACAGGTCAGCGATGAGACTCGTCTAACGCATGTTAGAGGGACATGTGGGCCCATAGAAAGTGAGCCCCACATAATCAGTAACACTTCTCCGTTGTTAGAGGAGTTGCTTTCGCTCATTTTTCTCACTTATTCTATCATCATGTTAGCAAAACAACTGCATGGTATAGCTAAGAAACGTCTTTATTGTTGTTGTACATGTTATAAGGAACCTTATATCTTTTCTAATGTAAAATTTAATGTCTCCTCAAGATTGTATTCCTTTCCTTTCTTGAACAAAACCGGTTTGAGATATCTCCTGAGCATACAACCATAAAAATGTGGTCTTTATCAAACATGGAAGATCAGAAAACCACATATACATGTAGGCCTAAACAGTAAAACAAATTATTAGAATCTTTCACTCATGCAACACCAATTGAGTCCACTGTATTCACTTAAATTGTCTATACTATCATCAAGAGACTTTTAAAAATTTGCTATATACAAAATGATAATAGAGTGAGTAGGTTATTCTCTATCTTTTACTCAATTGTCTCTTAGTGAAGAGACAGCTCAGCGATGAGGCTCCTCTAACGCACGTCAGAGGGACATGTGGGCCCATAGAAAGTGAGCCCCACATAATCAGTAACACACGTATGTCTTTAGAGGAGTTGCTTTCGCTCATTTTTCTCACTTTTTCTAGCATTCATGTTAGCAAAACAACTGCATTGTATAGCTAAGAAACGTCTTTGTTGTTGTTGTACATGTTATAAGGAACCTTATATATTTTCTAATGTAAAATTTATTGTCTTCTCAAGATCGTAAATTCCTTTCCTTTCTTGAACAAAACCGGATTGAGATATATCCTTAGCATACAACCACAAAAATATGATCTTTGTGAAACATGGAAGATCAGAAAACCACATATACATGTAGGCCTAAACAGTAAAAAAAATGTATTAGAATCTTTCACTCATTCAACACCAATTGAGTCCAGTGTATTCACTTAAGTTGTATGTACTATCATCAAGAGACTTTTAAAATTTGCTATATACAAAATGATACAAATAATAGATGAATAGGTTATTTAATACCATATCTCTCTATATTTTACTCAATTGTCTCCTAGTGAAGAGACAGGTCAGCGATGAGGCTCCTCTAACGCACATTAGAGGGACAAGGGGCCCATAAAAAGTGGGCTCCACATAATCAGTAACACTTCTCCATTGTTAGAGGAGCTGCTTTCGCTCATTTTTCTCACGTCTTCTATCATTCATGCTAGCAAAACAAGTGCATCGTATAGCTAAGAAACGTCTTTGTTGCTGTTGTACATGTTGTAAGGAACCTTATATCTTTTCTAATGTAAAATTTAATGTCTCATCAAGATCGTAAATTCCTTTCCTTTCTTGAATAAAACCGGTTTGAGATATCTCCTGAGCATACAACCATAAAAATGTGGTCTTTGTCAAACATGGAAGATCAGAAAACCACATATGCATGTAGGCCTAAACAGTAAAAAAAATTATTAGAATCTTTCACTCATGCAACACCAATTGAGTCCACTGTATTCACTTAAGTTGTCTATACTATCATCAAGAGACTTTTAAAAATTTGCTATATACAAAATGATAATAGAGTGAGTAGGTTATTTAATATCATATCTCTCTATCTTTTACTCAATTGTCTCTTAGTGAAGACACAGCACAGTGATGAGGCATCAGAGGGGCATGTGGGCCCATAGAAAGTGGGCCCCACAAAATCAGTAACACACGTCTGTCTTTAGAGGAGTTGTAAGGAACCTTATATCTTTTCTCTATACCAAGTCATCAAGGTTATAGTTTGGTTGTTTCTTTAAAAAAAGGTTATTGTATTTTTTTGGTAAAATTTGCTCCAAGACATCATAGTTTTGATGTTATAAATTGTCGCAAGCTATGGTATTGGATATGGAGGTTAATAATACATGTAAGAAACTTTCTAGGTATGGATTATTTTTTTTCATGTGGTTTATGCTAAGATGATACCCGGAGTGTCAACTGTGGGTCAATTGAATGAATCTACCGATTATTGAAGGGGAAAAAAGGTGCACTTTTTTTGGGAAAAGCAAAACCACATGCAAAAGGAAAGTTTACGTATACACATGTGTGCAAACGGTTTAATGATGATTTGAAATGGTTCAGTTGGTAAGCATAGCTATTCTTAAGGCTAAACACAACAACTTGAAATTCGATAATAAACAGATATAAAAAGCACTATTTTAAACTATTTGAATTGATCCGTTTGAGAACTTTCACAAATTTCGTCATTTTGCAACAGGCAATGGCTAACAAAAATAAACTGATCAGTTGCTCTGAACTTTGTTCATATCTGGCCCTGAGCATAATCATGCTGTTGAGACAAATTTAAGGCCAACCTGGTTGAATTTATGAAGACAAAAATGCCAGAGCCAAGCTACTGCTTTGACCAGTAAATCCTAGTGCAATATATTTATGAAACTATAACATTACAAAATCATTTTTTCGAGATAATACAAGAGTTCCATGCAGCTTATACTCTCAACAAGCTCTATATAGTTCTATGCTGTACATTCAAAAGTTAGATGACACACAAGTCCATCATATACCTCAATTTACAGTAGTGTAGTTTTTTTTTGTGTGTGTGTCTAAATTAACTCTAATATTTCACCAAACCATGTTTTGCCTGTCTGATACTCTGATCTTGAACTTTGGTACCTTCCCAATTCACAGCTAGCTTAACAAAAATTTGCATTCGCAGGAGTTTCCAGTAGAGAACTCTAGCCACATCACTAACAGCACTACTCGTGTTTGTGTATTATGCAAATTCCTTGCTGGTGACATCATCTTATTCAAACTCATTCTGATACCCAATCACATTTAGAGGAGAACATCATCGTTGTCATCTCCAAGGATTGACAGAGAGAATGGTGCAATTGCGACATTGAATGTAGACGACCCAGCTTTGTCGATGTGCTTCATCTCAAAATCACCTTCCTAAATCCAAAAGAGAATTCAGGTAAGTTTGCTTTGCAGACATGCAACACGCAAACAACCTAAACAATAAATAAATTGCAGGATATAACTAGTCTTTCTTAATTGAACATTACTATTTCTTCTTTCAGCTTCAATCAAAACAATTGATCTAGATACCATGTTAATTATTGGGCATAAATTGATGCCAGCTATATGCAATCAAGAGATATTAGAACCATACGAATCTCTTGCACAGCTAGAATCTAAAAATTACTTTACAATAACCTATTTACAAGTGTGACAACATAGGTTGTGGAAGATTTAGATGTTACCATTCTCCCATTTGGTGTGTTTAATGGGCATGCAGATGAGTACTCAAAACCAGTCCTTGGAAATATGACAGGTTGCTCTCCCACAACACCTACACCCCTGGCATGGCAATGGAGCAAGTCTTTATTAGCTTTAACATACGGTTCTTTTGGTAAGGTGAGAGTACAATAGAGACTTACCAAATGTTCTCCGTCCTTCCATTTGCATCAGTGACAATCCAATGTCTTCTGAGAAGCTGAACAGGGCGCTGAGAATTATTTGTGATTCTGATTCTGTAGGCAAAGAAGAACTGGCCCTTCAAAGGCTGGCTCCGGCTTTCAATATAAACACTCCTGACTTGAACTCTAATCCCCTAAATTCAACATTAAAAAATATCAGGAAATCTAGTTAAGCTCAATGAAGAATCTGAGAAAATATTTGATCTACATTAACTAAAGAATTATTACAGAACAGGTGACGAAACCAACGGAGGTGGTTCATCTGTAGTGCATGAGATTTTCGTGGAAAAAAAGAATGGGGCGCCTGAACATATGAAAGAAATGAAGTGGTGCCCAAGGGCCAACGCACACAGTTATAACCAACTCAAATAGATTCTTGATGACCTTCACGTATTAATCTCTTATTTTCCATATCCTGCCTTAGCTATTTTTTTAGGTCACTACTTGATACCCAAGTTCCCTGGTGAAATTGCGTGACCAGCTGGGGGTTTTAAACACTAATATACTGCCATAGACAATGATAATGTTTCATAGCCTCAAGTTTTCAAATGACCAAACCATTTCATTCAAAACTATGATACTTTATCGAGTGAAAGAAACATGCCAGAGTTGTAGTATAACATCACTAAATCATTGGATTGTAAGATACCAGGGTAGTAGCATCACTAGAACATTTTAGGAGGGCGTGTGGAGCCAAAATCTTCAGTTCATCTCTGTACTTAGCAGCATCCTGGAAAGCATGAAAACAGAGAAAAATCATAAACATGGTGAATAAAAGATGAAGAAAGAATGCCTTCTAGACTGACAACCAGGGGGTATGAAAATATCTACACAAATCACTATTGGCATATGATTAGCGTAAGGAGCCCAAATTCAGCACTATGTAATGATGAATTCAAAGTTCTGGTCATGAAAACACAACTCCAACTATTACAAGTAGAAAAGTCAACAGTGAAGGAAGTAAGTGAAACATGTGTATTGAGATGATTTCTTGACACTTGAGATTTCCTCTCATTTTCCGATGTTATCATACAATATACAGCACGGAGAGAAAAGAATCAAGCATACAACAAAATTGTTGCATGTGCAGTCGACAAAAGGACACATCAGGCATCACTATAAGCGGCTTTTGGCATTTTCGGCAGAGACATTGCAGCAACTAACTGAGGCTGCACGTCTTTGGATTAATCGTCAATCCACAAACATCGTTAGCAAGGATGGATTGGGACAGTCTCACAATCCAACTTTGCTAATGCCTAATGGGGATATCACAATTTACAGGATTCTTTTTTTAGACTACAATTCACAAGATTCTTGTATGGAAATGTATCAACTGAAACAAGCAAATATGGTAAGGAAACAATTGCTATGGATGTCCAATACCTCGAACCTCTCCTCCTCAACCGCCTTCTTGAGCGATCGGCGGAGACGAAGAACTGGCTCCTCCTCCTCGAATGACTTGAGCGAATCCCTCAGCCTCGCCGCCTCCTTGTAATCCTGCAACCAAATTATTCCAATTCGCAGTAAACCCCAATTCGGATGGATTCGATTGCAAGTTCGCTTGTTGAAAGAATCCAATGGAGCTCGTCTCGTCTCGTTACCTCGAACTGGGCGGCCACGGCGAGCTGCTGCTTGAGCATGGCGTACTTCTGGCTCCGCATCAGGAAGGCCGCCGCCTTCTCCATCCGCGCCGCGTCCTCCCTCTCCTCCTCCACCTCCTCGCCGCCGCCACCACTCCCCGGCGAGTTCGAGTTCGAGCTCGAGTTCGCATCCGGCGACGGCGACGACGACGACGCCGCGGCGGCCAGCACCACCCGGCGCGGCCCCGGCGACGGCAACCTCGCGGTTCTTGCCCTCCGCCCCATCCACACCGCCGCCGGCGCCGCCGGTGCCGGCGGCGAGCTCAGCGCCGCCCACTGCATCCCAAGAAATCCGAATCGACCCCCCAAGAAATCGAATTGAGCGCCTCACGCAGAGAGATCAGCGAGGATTCTTGGAGAGGGTGGCTTGGCCAAGATTGGCTCCTCTTCCCTCGCCGTGGCTGACTAAAAATGGGCGCCGCTCTTGGCCCCCATTTCTGTGGCTCTCTCCATCTCCATCGCCGCCAAGAAACGAGAGGGAGAGGAGTAGAAAAAAAAAAGAAAAGAAAAGAAATGTTTGGGCTTAACTGGTGCGGATTAGCGATTGGCGCGTCATTATTGGATCAGATAAGAACGATCGACATGTTGGAATCGCACGAAAAAGATCCCGGATTTTGGGTGTGGGCACAGGGGCAGCCACGACTCCGCGATTGCGATCGACGGAGAAAAACAACAGGAAATGTTTTGTATGCTGTTAGTGTTAGGTTTAATAGTATAGCCCACTACTGGCATCAAATCATCTATAGCCAACGTAATGGTCAATTCATATAATAGTTGCTTACTATCCTATTAATAGCTGGTTCCACCTGTCATACACACATTACGTCTTGGAGTCCGTACTGCAGCTAGCTACAGATCTGTAGTCCGCTGCTCTTCTCTCTCTTACTTTATCTCTTTAAAGTATGTTTATAGCTAGCTTATAGCCTGCTATTGTACCTGCTCTTAGCTTCTTTTTGTGTGTTTGATTATGTGGCTAGATTTAGGGTGTGTTGGTAAGTTGGGATTGGAAACCCATCTCCTCCGCACGAAAAACGAAGCAGTCCGTTAGCGCATGATTAATTAAGTATTAGCTATATCAATATGATTTTTTAAGCAACTTTCATATAGAAATTTCTTTTGTAAAAAAACGCACCGTTTAATATTTTAAAAAGCGTGCGCGCGGAAAACGAGGGAGAGGGGTTGGGAACTTAGAGCACCGAACACAGCCGGCATGTTCTTCCCACTCATTTCTCAACTAACATCCCTCGTTTTCGGCGTTCACGTTTTTTAACTGCTAAACGATGTGTGTTTTAAAAAAAATTACATAAGAAAGTTGCTTGAAAATCATATTAATATATTTTTTAAGTTTTTTTACTAATACTTAATTAATGTTGCGCCAATCTTTTACTTTGTGTTTCCATGTGAGGAGGCAAGGTTAACTCAACCTTATCAGTCTAGTTACCCCGCACGCAGTCAAACTAATTTAAGTTTAAAATATATATGATTATACTAGTAAAATATAGGAAGTACATTTGCCCTTAAGCGTAACACAATTTTTGTGAATGTCCATGATAAAAAAAAGATAATAAAATTGTCCAATAGATTGGACTCATGAAGGTCACAACTATCCGCCCCTGCTTGTAGACCAGATGACACACTACTACCAAATAACCAAAGTGGAGGTCTGCATCATAGAGAAGGTTCTCTTCTCAGTTCTCACCATGGCCATGAACTAGAATGCCACTAAGGCTGTGTTTAGTTTACCGTAAAGTTTAGATTTTGTTTGAAATTGAAGATGATGTGACTGAAAAGTTGTGTATGTATGACATGTTGATGTGATGGAAAAGGACTTAAGTTTGGATCTAAACTTTAGATCTAAACACAGCCTAAGTTTTGGTTGGCTCATGATTTAGATGATCAAGTGAATACTTGTTACAGTGGGTTTAAGATTTGGTTTAAGAAATAGAATGAGTTTATCCATCATCACTTCTTAAAACCACACACTTAGGTTAAAAGAAAGGTATATTGCATATTGGGCTACTTATTGTTGCCAATATTGTATATTAGATCAAGAATATTCGATCTTTAGACTTTGAACTAGATAATTGTACATATGTTTTACGTTGGACTGTTCTTATCTTCTTTGTTGATCTGAAAGCTGTTGACACCTTCTAAGTTCTAACTTGAGGTTTGCCCCTTTCCTACTCTCAAGCTCAGGCACGTATGTGTTAATTAGCCCCAAACTCAAGTTCTGCCCTTGGCCCCGCCACCATGTTCGACCTCAAGCACAATCTTTATTTATTAACCTGAGCTTAACCTTGAGTAGATTTGGAGGGGAGTAAAATAAAAGAAGTATATTAGTCATGCGACCTAACTTGAGTGATATGATTGACTCATAGATATACTCCTACTCAAGCAAGTCAGCAACGCCTATTAGAGCAGGTACAATAACAGACTATAAGCCAGCTGCAAATATATTTTAAGGAGATAAATCAGGAGAGAGAAGAGCAGCGGGCTACAGATTTGTAACCAGCTGTAGCACGGACTTCAAGACGCAGTGTGTCTATGACAGGTGGGACTAGGTATTAATAGTATAGTATGTAACTATTGTATAAATAAGCTATTAGATTAGCTATAGATTAATTGGAGCTAGTAGTTGGCTATACTATTGAACTTGCTCTTAGTGCATAGCTCAAGGCATCATAAATATGTTACCACTATCAGTGCTAAAATGTGGTGGTGGTGGGTGTATAGCTCAACTTACGACATCATAAATACGTGGGGAGGCAACCGATGAGGAGTGAGAACTGAGAACATTAATACTTATTACTCACCTGATGGCATCTTTTCCTCCATGAAGAGGAAAGAATGTAAGCACAGAGAAGAGCCGTAGAAAAGCAGGATGGGATCAATATTATGATTGAAATTGAACCTTTTATGAAATTAACTAATCTAAAATAAAAATATTCTATAAGAATAAGTAGCCTAAAATAAATTTACTAAAAATAAAACGTTCCATCATATTATTTTGTTTCAAAACAGACAACTCTTTTGTCTTGCTTGAAAAGGCTCAAGATGATGGCCTCATGTTGATGAAAAAAATACACACACTGATCTAAGAGATTTGCTTAGCTTCAGTGCAGGTCCAAGGACCAAATTTCACTGTTAACACCCCATCCATTTTTTCAATGCCAACCAAAAATGATTTACTCCTACCTTAATGCGTTTAGTCTGAGTTAAAACCTTCGATGAATTTCAGAATTTGAATAAGTACTCTTCTAAAGTGTACAACTCAGAATTTAGAATTCTTTTAATGCAATGCCAAAACACGCCATCTATTTTAGAAAAAAATTAATTTTTAATAATGAATTTGGATGAGCACTTATCCGGATTCCTCCTCAATATTTGTAATTTCCCTTTTTTTCTTAATGGAGTACTCCTGCAGAGATCCCGGTATAGGTGTACAACTCCATACATAAATGCCACGTCGCATTCAGTATGTGGGGCCCACAACGCCATAGCCGCCGGGCCCATTCCCTGCCACTCTGCCAGTGCCCACCACGAAAAAAGAATTGAAAAAAAACACTGTAAAAAAAGAAGCCTTTTTCCCCTCATAAAACAAGTTTTTTTCCCTCTCTCTTTAGTCTCAGAAGAAAAAAAGAAGTTTTTTTCCCCTCTCTCTGAGTCTCAAAAAAAAAAAAAGAAGTGTTTTTTTTCCTCTCTCTCTGAGTCTCAGAGGCTCCCCGCGCGCGGAGCCGGAGAGGCGGAGAGCGAGACGGCCAGGTCGCCGTCGCCCTCTCTCCTCCCGCGGCTTCCAGTGGCCTCTCACTCGCGCCCTCGCCTCGCCGCCCACTCGCGCCGCAGCCGCAGCCGCAGCCACTCCTCCTCCATAAGTAGCAGATGGCGTCTCCTCCACCGCGCTCTCGCGTCCGTGTCCGCGCGCGCGTTCCGCGACTCCAGGGCGGCGTTCGATCGATTTGATTTGATTTGAGGCGGCGCCATTGTTGTGACCAAGAAACCGTGGACGCGTGGTTGTGGAACGCGGCGTGGCGAGGCGAGATGCAGGCCGTGGCGGCGGCGACCTCTAGAGCCTGGGCGGCCTCCCCGCGGCGGCGGCGGCATGTCGCCTCGTGTTCTTCTCCTCCTCCTCCGACGACGACGGCGACGACGACTACGTCGTCTCTCAATCGATGCCCGGTCGCCGGCGCGGGCGCGCCGGTGCTGCCGCTCGGCATTCGCGGGGGGCGCATGCTGCTCGCGCCCCCACTTCTGTGGAACAGCGGCGCCGCGGCGAGGAAGGCGGCGGTGGCGACGGCCGCGGCGGCCTCGCCACCGGCGGAAGGCGGCGGGAAGGCGAACGGCGGCGCCGTCGCCGGCGGCATTTCGCGGACGGTGCAGCTCGGCGCCATGATCCTCGTCTGGTACCTCCTCAACATCTACTTCAACATCTTCAACAAGCTGGTCTGCACATATATTTTTTTCCCCCAATTCGTCAATTTCCTTCTCCTTCTCGACATGTTCTTTTTCGTCTCTAATTTGTTCATGGCGGATCTTGTTGGAATCCATGGCTTGCAGGTTCTGAAATCGGTGCCCTTCCCGTACACCATCACCACCTTCCAATTCGCGTCCGGATCATTCTTCATCACCCTCATGTGGTTGCTTAATCTTCACCCCAAGCCAAGGCTCTCCCTTGGACAGGTAACCCACTGTTCTTGTCAAAAAAAACTGGAATAATGGAATCTTCTATTATATACTAAAAGTCCATGAGACTTTCTACAAACGCTCTCAAGCCGCCAAGTGGCGCTCTAATAAAATAGAGAAAATCCTAGAAATTCTAAGAAAAAAGAAAAACAACTACCCTTTGATTTTCACTTAAATTGGTGAGTCCAATATTATACACCGTTAGATAAAATCGATCTTAAAACAAACTAAATATCATGGGTCCCACCTATCTTCCTCCTGCACGTTGGCAGGTGGCAGGTGGAGTATATACGTACGTATACATTATACGTACGCTTCCTTCCTTTTTTTCTTTTTTTTTTCTTTTTTTCTTTTCCATTTATATATATATATATATATATATATATATATATATATATATATATAGTGCATATATTTTTTAAATAATCATAATTTTACAAAACAAAGAATCTACCATCATATAACAAAAAATCTTCCTTTCAAATAATGCACTATTTTAAAATAAATTTTACACAATTATATTATGTACCTATTAAATAAACAATATCTATATTAACTAATTTATACGTGCACTTAAACTGATGGCCCCATTATATAAATCATCGGATCTATTTTTTATTACATTGGTATATTATTCTCAAGTAATGCACTGTTTCAAAATAAGGTCTACACCATTATATTGTGTACCCATTAAATTAACAATTTAAAATATATATTAACTAATGTACACTTACACTAGAACTGGTGGACTTATTATTATAATCATCGTATCTATTGTTTGCTAATAAATAAAGCGTCCGAAATTCTTTTTTTTTTGCCCGCTGCACAATGCACATTTGCACCTTTGCCTTTCGCATGGGTGACAAGGTGTAGTGTTTGAGACATATAAGGTGATCACAACCACCGTAGAGCTACCGCTTTGCCATATATCAAATCATATATGGAGATGATTAATTTTGTTAATAACATGAAAAGAAAATTAAAGGTGTGATGCAGCGAGAGAATAATTAAGCACCATGGGTTATGTTTTTCTCAACACTAATTAGCTCTGTTTAAGTTGAAACCGAGAGTTGATTATATAATAATTATAATGTATTTGTGTTATGTCGTATTTGGATTTTGTACTATTTGTTCGTAAAGGTGAAAGGGATCATTATGTTATAAATGTGAGCGTAATATTGACGAATATTAATAGAACTCTTACTATGATAAGGGTGATAAAGGGAGTTTAAGGCCCTTTATTTTTTTCCCGATTCCATATTTTGGATTTTTGTTTGCACACTTTCCAAGTTTCTAAATAGTGTCTTCTTTAAACAATATTCTAACTTTTTAGAAGTCAATTCATTTGTTATACCCTTAAATAGCTATCACATAAATTATATAATTCATTAATTTCAGCTATCCTGAACCTTAAGTACTACATATTTTTTTTCATGCGAGTCATGGTGATAAATCATTAAAGTCGTAAAATTAATATGTAAGAGTTACTCTGAACAATTGTAAATAGGTGTCAAAATTAATTGCTATTAATTAGACATCTAATGGCTTGCAAGCCACAAAATTAATTTCACTCTACATGTATATAAAGATGGACGAAGTTGGAACAAATATTACCATATGTCCCATACATATATATTGCACAGTTAATATTCTAATTACATGTGTTAAGTCATTTAAAATTCATGAAAATGCTCTCAAGCTGCGACGTGGTGCTCTAATAAATTAGGGCAAATATTAGAAATTCTAAGGAAAAAAAAATCAAAGTATCTATTTCTTGATTTTCACTTAAATCGTTAGGTCTAATATTATAAACCATTACATTAAATTGATCCTAGAACAAACTAAATACTACGAGGTCCCACCTCTCCTCCCGCGGCATACGTACGCACCTACTTACATGGGTACGTACGTTTCCCCTCCCTTTTTTCATTTTTTCTCCTTCTTTTTTTTTTACCATGCATATGCTTCCCTCCCTTTATTCCTATATCATACGTCTTCATGAGACGATTTAATCAAAAGAATTTTGAGTATCTTGCACTCGCATTTTTCATTTGTGGCCATACTACACGGTATATATATAGATGGACTATATGATAATTAACTAGCAATACCTTTCAATAATATAAGTGCCCGTGCATACGCGCGGGCCACCTTCCTAGTTATTAGAAATGTCTTATATTGTGGCAAAAGTTTGTGTATTGGAATACTACAATACAATTCTAGAAATGTAATGAATTGTGGTAAAAAAAAATGTTGTTAGTGCAGTATGCAAAGATCCTGCCATTGGCATTGGTGCACACGATGGGCAATGTGTTCACCAACATGAGCTTGGGCAAGGTCGCCGTTTCCTTCACGCACACCATCAAGGCCATGGAGCCCTTCTTCTCTGTCCTTCTCTCCGTGTTGTTCCTTGGGGAGGTACATGCTTTGTTCATGATTTTTATATTTTGTCTTAAAAAGAGGAGACATATAACCAAAGAGACTGATCGGTTTATGCTTTGAAACAAATCGTGTGTTTCGGCAGACACCCTCTTTCTTGGTCTTAGGTTCCCTCGTGCCAATTGTTGGTGGCGTCGTGCTAGCATCGATGACCGAAGTTTCTTTCAACTGGTCAGTGGTATCTATTATCTTTAATTCCAATGCCTAAGAACTGAGGAGTCCTTGATGCTTTGACTTCTGTCTTCGTATTTGTTTAAGCAATACAATGCATTTTGTTGTAATGTAGTATCGTGCAAAACTTTTGATAAAACAGGATAGGATTTTGGAGTGCCATGGCTTCCAATCTTACCAATCAATCGCGAAATGTTTTCAGCAAGAAACTTCTGGCTGATAAAGAGGTGATTTTCCCAACCCATGAAGTTGTGTAGTTCCTCCTACAAGAATATTTTTCAGCACAAAATGTATATTCGGACATTTACAGTATGGTAAATACCGTGAAGCACTGTATACCTTTACGCAATTTGTTCATATCGCAGGAAACATTGGATGATATAAACCTCTTCTCGATAATGACTGTTATGTCATTTTTATTATCTGCCCCACTGATGCTGTCTGTGGAAGGCATCAAGTTTTCCCCATCGTACCTGCAGAGCAACGTGAGTGTTTGGGCTGTTCTGTATTATCTTTGCTAACCAATGTTTTATTCAAACACTGTCTTTTTGGGCATGTAGGGAGTTAATCTACAGGAACTATGTATGAAAGCTGCTCTTGCTGGCACTTGTTTTCATTTTTACCAACAGGTGGGCTAAATTCCAGTATAAAAATAGTTTTTATGGTTGTCCAACGGTTCTTAGAATTTTGTAGTAATTTTTATGGTTTGTCTGCATGGATCCAAATTTTCTAGTGGTGGCTAGTAATACATGAGTGTATCTGCAAGTTTTTTTAATTACCATGGTCAATCTCTTTCGGATTTTGTTTAATTACCTTAACCAAAATTATTTTTGTTTCTGAGGCAGGTTTCTTATAGTTTATTGGCTAGAGTATCACCTGTGACCCATTCTGTTGCCAACTGTGTCAAACGAGTTGTGGTCATCGTCTCATCCGTTCTCTTCTTCAGAACTCCGATTTCACCTATTAATGCCCTTGGTAACCTCACAACCAAATTCAACTGATCCTAACAGCTCGCTTTTCAATTTACCCGTACTGAATTTTGTCCTTTTTTCTGCATTCAGGAACTGGCGTTGCTCTAGCTGGAGTTTTCCTGTACTCTAGGTTCAAAAAAGCTAAACCAAAGGCTAAGACTGCATGAGTCAACATACACAGCTGCAATTTAACTAGAAGATTCAGGTTTATCTCTTCTTGAGGTGAAATGGGCCGCCAAGCAATCACTTGGCTTCTCTCCAATTTGTCTTTTGCCAGCTTGTCTGGGTCTTAGAAGCTTGTGTATAAGATTTTTCTCAGGAAGGTAGTGATGGACCGGCACCAAAATAACAAAATAACATTGTCAGAAGATTTCTCAAGAGAAATGAATTTTGGCACATACTTTTGAAATTCCTGTCCAAGAATATTGCCTCCTTTTTTACTGGTTCACTTAAAATGTGAGTAGGGATTTTTATTCATTCCTTTTGAATTTGGCTGAATGCTCACCAGATCAGACTACAGTTTGCATCACACAAAAAGAAAGTTTAGAAGCTTCTATCTTCCGCCTGTTCTTTTTTGTAGGCCATGAAACTGTAGAACCTTCTCTCTCTGTTTTTTTTCCTTGGTAATGGGTGAACCAGACTGGATTGATACTCTAGCTGGTAATTGACAGCCATACTAGCCAGTCAACAGAAGATGACTCCTTTGTGGATGAGAAGTTGGGAATACATTCACCATAAAAAAGATCAAAGTTGAAAGGAAAATGTTGAAAAGAGAACATGAAGCAAAGAAGCTGAGGAGGTCCTTGTCCTACTTCTTGTTGAGAGAAGGATGGCGCTTCAATGATTGGTCTATCCAACTATTCAACCTAGCACCACTAGATGTTTATTTTATTTTCTTTTCTTTTTTGAAACCAAATAAAATGTTTATTGTTATAGTGAATAAAATCCCAATTTCAAGGGTGCTACTATTACTATCTGGTGTAGAAACTGTTCCTGGATTGAATTTTTGCAGTCTAATTGATGATATGACAGACAACAATACAGTCTCAAAAATATGTAACGCCGTTAACTTTTTACGTGATGTCTAATCGTTCGTCTAATTTTTTTTTAAAAAAATATAAATTTCATTTATTTTGTTGTGACTTGTTTTATAAAAAAAACTATAATCTTAACTTATACTTTTACATGTTTATACTAAATTTTGGAATAAGAGGAATTATCAAATGTTATGAAAAAAAATCAACAGCATCATACATTTAGGGACGGATGGAGTATATAGCAGAAATGCAACAAAATCAACAAAGTTCAAATCCATAGTGTGAAACTAGCAAATCTGTCATAACAAATAGCAACTCATCATGATGTTTCACTGCATTAATGCAGTTGTTATTGTCCAAAATAAATACAGAAGCCATAAACTAGTGTGGTGTTCTTATTCAAAAGTAAAAAAAACCAAAATAAATCTCTTCTCATTGACGATAAAGCGCACAGAGAGGTTAATTTAGCTCTTCTTTAAGTGGTCAAAATTGGCGGGAGGTAGTCGGATTTGGCGCCAAGGATCCGCGCCTGGGTGTCCGGGAAGAACTCCACGCCGGGGAGCTGCGTGATGGTGCCGTCGCCGGCGACGCCGACGGGGTAGGTGAGCAGGTGGCCGGGGAGGTCGCGCTCCGGCCCGTCGCCGGCGTAGAGGTCCCAGCACCTGTCCGCCATGGCGTTCACCTTGCGCACGCAGTCGAGGCTCTCCGGCCGCTGGAACGCCTCGTCGACGGTACCGAGGTGCTCGTACCACAGCGCCATCCTGAACCCGTGCACCTGCCCCCTCGCCGGCCGCCCCGCCGCCGCCAGGTGGTGCGGCTGGTACGCTCCCATGGCGATCTCCGAGTCCCTCGCCCCGTCCATCGACCTCTGGTTGATGTTCGCCGACCCGACGATGATGTACTCGTCGTCCACTGATGAACACACAACCAAATCGATCAAGAAATGCATCCAAAAACAATCGTGGTAAGATCAATCAGGAGATATATACGAACCGATCATCATCTTGGTGTGGACGTAGATCATGAAGCGGCGATTCTGCTGCGCGTGGAAGTAGCCGGTGTCGGGCTCGGCCTGCTCCGGTGGCTCGTACTCGCCGGCGGACTTGGCCTCGCGGTTGCCGAGGCAGAAGAAGGTGAGGTAGTCCTTGGGGTCGGCGTCGATGCCCTTGGCCTGGATGGCGTGGGCGATGTCGGTGTACATCATCTCCATAGTGCGGCGCTGCCAGTCAAGGATGGCCTGGACGGAGCCGCTCTCCGGGATGCCCTCCGGCCACATCGGCACGACGACGTAGACGGTGAAGCGCTCGCCGGCCTCGATCTTGCTCACCACCTTCATGGAGAGCTCCTTGGGGATGAGGTGGAGCGCGCCGACATCTTCCGGCTTGACGCCGTCGTTGGGCTTCCAGCAGTAGGAGCTCCCGAGGAAGTACTGGTTCTCGATGTAGATGAAGCTCCGCGCCCTCCTAATGGCGGCGATGTAGGCGTCCTGGATGCTCCGGTCGATGATCTGGTCCTTGCCGCTGACGAGGCCGGCGCGGGCGGCGTCCTCGGGGGTGTCCGGGAAGCCGAACGCGGCGCCGCCGTCGATGGAGCGGAACAGCTGCACGTTCCACGACTCGGCGTCCTCCGGGAACATCGCCGGCGACGGCGGGATGACCGTCTCGGCGAGGTCCCGGAGCTGGACGAGGAGGTCCTTGCCGCCCTGCTTGCGCCACCGCTGCTCGAAGTTGTAGAGCACGTCCCACGCCACGGGGCCCTCGAGGCGGCAGTGGATGTCGTGCCACGGCTCGCGCGGCCCGCCCTTGGCCACCGTCGCCGTCGCGAAGTTCGGCTGGTGGAAGTCGTCGTGGTGCGCCGTCCCCAGCGTCCGGAACAGCGAGTGGAACGGCGTGTCGTACCTCCCGTCGCAGAGGTCCAGCCCGCCGACGAAGCTCACCACCCTCCGCCGCCCGCCGCCATTGCCGCCGCCGTGGCGCGACGACGGCATGTCGTGGTCGACGACGACGATCTTCTGGTGGTGCGTGAACATGGTGGAGATCTGCAGGTCCTGCACGATGCTGCCGGAGTCGTCCGGGTTGCGCGGGCACAGCACGCAGTTCACCTCCGTGCCCTGGAAGTAGTTCATCGTCTCCTCGTCGTGCGTCGCCATGAGCCCGTCCTTCTTGAGCATCCCCACCGACGTCCGGTCGTCCCACACCAGCATCAGCACCCTCACGCCCTCGCCGGCCTTCTTCTTCAGCAGCTCGCCGAGCGTCACGCCGCCGCCGGGCTTCGGCCGGTCGGCGTCCCTGATCAGCGCGATCTCCGTGTACACCGACCAACCAGTGATATAGATAAAATGCCTCGCGCCATTGATGGCGTCGAAGATGTCCTCCCAGCACCGGTGCGGCTCGTAGCTCCGGCCGCCGTCGAGCGGGATCCGGGGGATGAACCCGTCGGGGACATGGGCGTCCTGGTACAACGTCACCTTGCATCCTTGCCGCTGCGAGAAGAAGGTGTAGGGCACGCCGGGGTACTTGCCGCTGCGGACGCCGCGGCCCCAGCTCCGATCCTTGGAGATGTCGAAGTACTGGAGCTTGACGTGGACCTTGCCGCCGCCGTCGCCGATGGGGGTGCGCGCGTCGGTGTCGTCGCAGAGGGGGAGCCAGCGGTCGACCTCGTCGCCGGCGAGGACGTCCCGGACGGGGAGGTAGCCGACGCCGAGGAGGGAGGCGCCGATGGGGTTCTTGGCCTTGAGGGTGAAGGCGACGTGGGTGGCGAGGTGGGCGCAGTAGACGTGGAAGGACTCGTACCAGCGCGGCGCGGCGGTGTCGTCGGCGAGCGTGCGGGTGCGGCCGACGCGGGCCTTGTCGAGGCCGATGGTGGCGTACACCTTGCTCGTCCCCTTGCCCACGCCCACCGTGTCCTCGATCCCCTCCACCAGCTGCGTCACATTCGCGCAAATGCAAATGCAGCTTCATCAGTACTCCTACAGTTTTCTAAATATTTGACGCCGTTGACTTTTTTAAATATGTTTTATAGTTTATCTTATTTAAAAAAATTAAGTAATTATTAATTCTTTTCCTATCACTTGATTCATTGTTAAATATAGTTATATATATGCATATAGTTTTACATATTTCATAAAAGTTTTTGAATAAGACGAACGGTCAAACATATGCTAAAAAGTCAATGGTGTCAAATATTTAGAAATGGAGGGAGTAACAGATTCTGAGTGAGGATATTTAAATTTGACCCTTTTTTTATATCTCAGTTTGTAAGTTGATTTTGTGAAGTGTTGTATATATGCTGTATGAATGTTGTCAAAAGAATTTTTCATAATTATTTGAATGGGTTTTTGACAAACAAGAGACATCATCTCGAGGGATCAAAAGAGTTTACCGAGGCAAAGCATTGCAAGCTATTTTTTGATTTGATTTGAAAAATATAAATTTCAACAAAACACTAGTACTCCCTCCGTCCCATCCCTCCGTCCCAAAAAAAGACAAACCCTGGTTTCCGTGCCCAATGTTTGACCGTTCGTCTTATTTGAAAAAATTATGAAAAAAATTAAAAAGACAAGTCACGCACAAAGTATTAATCATGTTTTATCATCTAACAATAATAAAAATAATAATTATAAAAAAATTTCATATAAGACGGACAGTCAAAGTTGGACACGCAAACCTAGGGTTTGCCTTTTTTTAGGACGGATGGAGTATGTTTGTAGACTAGCTCGTCCTATAGATTGAAAATGTATGCACATGATGATGCTACTGATGGTAATTTCAATATGATTATGACTCGAATATCGCCGCACACATTTCCATTGGATAGAAGAGAGAAGAGAGGATTAGCAAAAAAAAAAGGAATAGAATTGGACTGTAGCAAAAGGAGCAAATCACGTTCATGCATGAATGGATGGCAAGAACCACTTCCGGTTATGACTGTTAAAACAGGCACCAGCTAAAATCTAAATTATAAAACGTTGATTTCAGTTTTTATTCCATTATAGTCTATTTTCCAGCATTGCTTTCTAAAACACAAACAACACACATATATAAAATAAAATCATCACCATAAATTATATTCGGTTGCTTTCGCTCATTTTTCCATGACTTATCAGCCATGTCTCAAACGATCAGGGTAAAACACTAGACAACTCGTTCGTTGTACACGACTTGAAAGTTGAAATCAATACGGCAAATAATATACTCCCTCCTTACTTAAATATTTGACGCCGTTGACTTTTTTAAACATGTTTGACCATTCGTCATATTTCACAAAAGTTTTTTCAATAAGACGAACGGTCAAACATGTTTAAAAAAGTCAACGGCGTCAAACATTTAGGGATGGAGGAAGTATATACTGCATGGGAGATCTAAGTAAGTCCATGATGAAGGAACAAGCAAAGGACCTTGCGGAGGAACTGGGGCGCTTGGGAGCTTGGCCTGCTAGGGTTGGAGAGCGATTCCGCCTCGAAGATGGTGACGTGCATCGTCCCATGGAGCAGGATCTTCGCCATTGTTAGATTAAACTATCTATCCCTCAACACGATCTCGATGATCACCCCTGCACACATACAAAAAGGGAAATTGTGTTTACCATGATGCAAAATCTCATGCTCGATCATAGACAAGTTCATGGCTAGAATCTATACATAAATCCGTCAGATAAGAAAAAAAATAAAGATGATTAATTATCTGCAATGGCGAACGCACCGATTGATCGAACAGAAGGAGAAGGAACAGGGAGAGAAGAGGAGATAAGGAGGAAGAAGAGGAGGAAAGGACGGTGAATTAATTTAGGAATTTCTAGGGAAGGTGATCCGATCATCCGAAAATAGGAAGTCTAGTGTTGCAGCGGACGGCGGAGGCAACAGGGGAGCGGAGCAGCCGGGCATCCACCATCCATCCATCGCTGCATTTTTTTTTCTTTTTTTTGTCCCCGGTTGCGCCGCGCCAACGTGCTGACATGGAACATCAAGCCCTGGAGTTTGTCTCGCCGAGCATCACCAAAGGTCCTCCTATTTCATCCTCAAAACTGATTTGGAGAGATTTTAGTTAAAAAAAAACACTCCAACCCTGCTACCTTACATGATTTTTGGAGTGTACAATAATTTTTTCAACCATAGCACACCTTCTGCACTGTATCAAAAGATCGAAAACGGAAGAGTCCTCTTCTTCGAGAAGAGTTTTTCCCGCAGCAATGCCCAGACAAGCAAATAATACTAGCAAATTCGCAAAACAATATCATAGCAAACAATATGTGCGGGTTGGAATACTTGTACATAAGTAGTAGTATTAAAAACTTGCAACACGCGGAAGGACAAGGGCCTTTAGCCTAGTGGTTACAAGCCTCAATAGCACCTTAGGTCCTAGATTCAACTTTGCGAATTTTCTAATATTTAACGGCTTTGTGCTTTCAATGGTAGGCGACGTACTCGTCAACAGCGAGGTGCCTGTGGCAGGGTTTACATTACCGGTTGACCACTAAATTTCGAGTCCCATCGGTATCACAATTTTCGATAAATTTTAACTAAATTTAGACCAAATCTATTGTTTAACCTTCGAAATTCCAATTGAAACTTAATTCCGAGCCATGTCGAAACGTCGAAATTTCGCGGACATGTGTCAGTGTGCGTGTCCCCATGGGAGCGAATTTTCCAGGATTTAATGGACCTATGTGAGTGTGCGTGTCCCCATGTCTTCGAAGATGCTCATAGGGGTAGGGTGAGTATACATGCGTTGTGAGTGTATACGTGGTATTGTGTAGTTCTAAAAAAACTTGCAACACGTGATTTTTTTCCCTTTTTGCACAAATATCGATGTGTTCTAATGGTACAGAAATCAAAATTACGATGTAGACAATAAGGGCATGTTTAGATCCCCTGTCAAAATTTTTCACCCTGTCACATCGAATGTTTGGACACATGCATGTAGTATTAAATATAGGCTAAAAAATAATCAATTGCACAGATTGCAACTAATTTGCGAGACGAATCTTTTAAGCCTAATTGCTCCACGATCTGACAATGTGGTGCTACGGTAAATATTTGTTAATGACGGATTGATTAGGCTTAATAAATTCGTCTCGCAGTTTACAGGTGGAATCTGTAATTTGTTTTGTTATTAGTCTATATTTAATACTTCAAATGTGAGTCCGTATATCCGGTGTGACACGCCAAAATTTTTCACCGTTGGATCTAAACACAACCTAAGTTTGCAATGTAACTAGATGAACCCTGCATGTTGCTGCAGGAGTTTTGTACGATAATAGTAGAAATAACACGTTGGATAGCTAGATGACATAATTTTATATATTTTATATAATTTTCATATTTGATCAAAATTTTTTAAAAAATATAATGGTTTATAACAATTTAAATCATATATAGATTGACCATTTAAATTAATGTGAAACTAATGTGATGTGGCAGAAGGAAAATAAAGAAGATAATATAGATTATTCATCCAAAGTAATATGAATTCATAAGAGAAGAAAAGGAGAAAAATAATTCGAACCATAGATCAATCATCTAACGGCTAAAAAAATTAAGGTGATATGTCTTAATGAGATTAGAGAAATAGTATTAACCACACTTAGTGAGCATGATTTTATAGATACACAGGATTACCCACATTTGAAATTTCTTTTTTTTATAAAAATAAAACCCGAGACAAATTTTTAATAGTCTCGTTTATTATGTGCTACTACCGTGTGTAAATAGGGAGTATAAGGAAAGTAACATCTGTCATAAATTAGTAACAGCAGCGGGCATTTGGTCTAGTGGTATGATTCTCGCTTAGGGTGCGAGAGGTCCCGAGTTCAATTCTCGGAATGCCCCATTTTTTTTCCAGTTCTTTTTTTTTCTTAACCTGCACACTCCCGCTAACAGCAACGCGACACGCAAACTCGCCGCGCTGCTGCCACCGCGGCGCGCGCATCGAAACGGACGACCGCGACGCCCCCACCCCCAGTCTGCCACGCCGCAGATCGCCGGGGCCCCCGCACCTGCTGCACTGCACGTCGTCGTCCTCCTCCTCTTTGTCCTGTCGCCGAATATATCCTCACCGTGCCCATGCCCATCACGCATTCACGCCTCACGGAGTCAATAGCGTGAACAATGGTGTCCATGGCGCCTTCCTCCTCCGCCGCCGCCACCCGCCGCCTTCCCCTTCTTCTTCTCCTCGCCGCCGTCCTCCTTCTCCACCCATGCCACGCCGCCACGGTCCGTTCTTGCCTTCTTGCTCCCTCTCTCTCTCTCTCTCTCTCTCTCTCTGTCTGGTCGTCTGACGCGTGCGTGCGTGGGTGTTCGTTGCAGGAGGCGTCGGCGGCGGCGAGGCGGGAGTGCACGTACACGGTGCGGGTGAAGACGAGCTGCGCGTCGCCGGCGCGGACGGCGGACATTGTCAGCGTCGCGTTCGGGGACGCGTACCGGAACGAGGCGTACGGCGCGCGGCTGCCGGCGGGCGGGGCGTCGGGGGCGCTCGACCGGTGCGCCGTCGACGCGTTCCGCGTCGGCGGGCAGTGCGGGTACGGCGTCTGCTACCTCTACCTCCGCCGCGCCGGCCGCGACGGGTGGGCGCCGGAGTGGGTGCAGGTGTTCGAGCCTGGCGCCGCCGCCGGGGAGAAGCCGTCCACCTTCTACTTCGGCTCGCCGCTGCCCGACGGCGTCTGGTACGGCCACAACCGCTGCCCCAAGGCGTCCCCGGCCATGGCGGCGCGCCGGACGAACACCTCCGCTTCACCTCTAGGCTAGGGTAGCTGCTCGCTCCGCAATGTACTAGTAGTACTACGGAATTGGCGATTTTCGGAATTCGGATGCATCCATCCATCACTCAAGAATAAACAGCCTCGTGTGTGTGAGAAATATCGGAAATAAGAGCTTTCGGATGACACATTTATTTGTCTTTGTTCTTTTGTGTTCAAATGATAAACTTTAACTTATCGAATTCTACTAAATTTTGTTAGTCCGAGCAAAATTTAGTCATCCAGGAAAAGGTGGTTGAAAGAGAAAAATACTGCATTGTAGAATATTGCTGCTCCCTCCGTTTCATTGTATACGCTCTCTCAAAAATCGTTAACTCAAAGGTGAGAACATTTAGGCCTCTTTGGCAAAGGGTTTTCATAAGGTTCAAATTATGAATTTTTTCCCTATAGGAAAAGAAAGAAAGCTTTTCATAGGGTTGTATTCATATGCTTTACGTTTCATAGAAAGTTTATAGAGGAATGCAAACTCTCTTTTGTTTTCTTCCATCGCACTATCAAAGAGCTGTAATCTTTTCTTGTAGGATTTAAGAATCACACTACAATTTCCAGTGCTCCTATCGAAAATATTCTTTCCAACAAACAAATGGCTATCCCAAAATCACTTCGAATTTCTTAGGATTTTCTCAAATTACAAGGCTCCTCGGGACGTAGGATTATCAAAACGCACAAATAGGAAAAATATATGAATAAGATGTCATGTCACATACTTTTGATTCCTATAGGGTATTAAACACACAGGAATTTCAGATTTTTTGTGCATTTGGATGGTTTGTAGGAAATAAAACTCAGAATTTTTGGAGGTTGTTGTTTTGTGTGTCAGATATAGTAGACAGACAAAGGGATACTGCATGGGACTTCAGACTCCTTTGGATTTGGCTAATCATGGTGCATGATAAGAAAAACATAGGAATTGATTGCCATGGCTAGGCCAAATCCTACAGAAAGTAAAATTTCAGGGATTTGCTAAAGAGCATGTTTAGTTAGTCCATAGGAAAACCTCAGGAATTGTGAATGAAATACTTCATTAGAATAAATAAAATATGAGAGATAAAGAGACATGTTGTCTTGGCCTTCTCAAAGGAGGAAAGGAAGCGATCCTACAGAAATTTTGGAACCCAGTCTTACAATCCAAAGGACCTTATAGGGAATTTTCTATAGGATTTTAATTCTTTGAAATTCCTTGGTTCCAAAGAGAGCTTATGCTTATATCCTATGGAATTGAGGCATAGGAAGCAATTCCAAAGGATTTTTATCAATCGCATTCCTATGATCCAAAGGAGCTAATAGGGAACTTTTTTTTTTCTAAGGATTGAAATCCTCCAAGTTTCCTTTGAAATTCCTTCAGCCCATAGGGATTTTGGATTATTTTTAATATGAAGTCTAATCTCTAATATCCACTTCGTGACACAGGATTATAGAAAAATAGGAATATGAAAAGCATAAGAATAATAGGATTTTAAAACACAGGAATCCTGAATTTAGTTCCTTTTATAAAAACAGAAATAGAGAGGAACTAGATAGGTAAATAAAGCACAACATTTTTCAAAATATTTAATGAGTATATTAAAAAAAATCAAGCATTAATACCAGCACATGACACCCCTCTACATCATTCAAAGCATTTATTGCAAAATGGGTACTCCCAAAATAATATACATATCAACATGAGCTATCGAGATCACCGTGGGCAGCAACAATCAGAAGCGAGAGGGATGATGCAGCGTCTCCAAAGTGTGCAGGTTTGCAAGATCAGGAGGGAAGCAAATAGGATTGCTCATGCTTTAGCTCAAATGGCTATGAGGTCTAGATCGTATGAGGAGTGGAAGTTGTGTCCTCCCGCAGAAATCTTAGACTTGATAAATCAAGAATGCAATTCTCTTTTCCGTAATCAATAAAATTCCCTCTTTGAAGTAAAAACAAAAACAATATACATATCGCATATATTGTAAAATAGAGAGAATCCGTGAACACATTTAAAGATGAGGAAGCTACACATGACCACAAAATAAATTCATATCATGTTTGCAACATACATATACTTCTGTGCCGTGCGGTTTGGTTTGAGCCATTGAAAAACATGTGTGTTGTACCGAAGAAAATGTGATAGGTGCCCGTTTATAAAATCCACATGTAGAGACGAAGAATCAAAACCTCTGGTAGCTAATCAACGTCACTTAGACTGCCACACAGGAGCACACCAACTCCCTACTAGAAGTAGTAGAACGCCACGTGTGCAAACCAGGATTTGGATCCTCTGCATAGAGGATGAATAGTACCGTGTTTATTTAAGGTACCCGGTAGCCATTCGATCGAGATCGAACGGACTAGGTAACACGCTGTGATATTTGTGATGTTGTAGCCACCATGATTTACCACATTTCAGTTTTAGCACAGGACACATTTTATTGCACTACAAGAGATTCTCTTGATTTATTTTAGGACGGGTGGGTAGTTTTCTGCGTTTTCTTTTGTATTTTTGGTTGAAACAGAAGTCCACGGAAGTCAGGAACCAGTTTAGATGAGACTTTTGACTTTTTACTATTGAGCTCTATCTATTCACTTATTCTTATACTAACCGAATCGCTTATTAGCAAATAAAAATATATGTTTGTAGGTAATTATTTTATATACGTATTACAAAGAAATACTGTAAAATAAATTTAGATAAAATGCCAAAAAAAACTCAATTTCAAACTAAGTTGTAAATTTTAAATTTTGATCTGCATAAGCATGCGAAACAATGAGACCTTTTGATGAAAGGCCTGGTTTTGTTCCCAAATTTTTTTTTCAAGAACATCGCATCGAATCTTTGGACACATGAATATTAAATATAGATTAAAAAAACTAATTGCACAGTTACAGTAACCCACATATAATAATAATGGATTAATTAGGCTCAAAACATTCGTCTCACGGTTTACAGACGAGTTAATCCCTTCTAAACATCTAATACGTCGTCTAAAAATTTCCTTTTCGCAAGCTAAACTGGCCCTTTGCATTCGAAGCCGCAAAGTGCAACAAAGAAAAAAAAAGTGCACTTTCCTGGCCGGCTGCACTGCAGTGACCTCTTCTCACCTCCCACCTCCTCTCTCTCTCTCCCCTTTCCTTTACCCGCCGCCGCCGGCGTCCAAGAAGCGCGGGGGTTGGTAGGGCGGTGACCGGCGGCGAGGTCAAAGGGATTGCTTGCTGCTAGTGCTGGGCAGGTACAAAATAGTCGCTTACTCCCATTCTCTCACTACCTCAATTCCACCTGCTGCTGCTGCCTGCGACACCGTATTCCAGATCACGCCGTGGAAAAAGGTCTCTCATCTTTCGTTTATTTCCTTCCCTTTTTTTTTCTTTCCCTCTTATTTATTTCTTTCAGGTTGGTTCTTTTTCTGCCAATTCCTGGAGAATCGCGCCCTTTTTTGGCTCCCAAGATTCTTCCCCCCTCCATTTCTGCGTCTTTTCCACGCCACGGTGACGGCGACGAGCTTGCTTTTTTTTTTTTTTTCTTTTTTGGGGCCAATTAGTGATTCTTTGTCCGGCCTTGCGATTGCTGGAGTTGTGTTGGGGATCGAAACCGAGGTGAGCCGATGAGCAAGAGGAGTTGCGGCGGCGGCGGCGCGCGGTTGCAATGCGCGGCGGCGGATTGGGGCGGCTGCTTCCTCGCGCTGCCACCGGCGGCGGCGGCGGCGGTGCCCTCAGGCGGTGACACCGATGGCGGATTCAACCTGGCGTGGACTCTCCACCAGTCGTTCCACCCTGCCTCCGGCCTCTTCGCCAGCGTCGGCGTCGGCTTCCCGGCGACCTCCTCGAGCTCGCCGTCGCCGCCGGACGCTCCCGGAGACCCGTATGCCAAGTATGTCTCGCCGGAGATCGAGCACCATGCTCTGCCCGGTCAAAGTGTGGAGGTGGAGCTAATGGAGAAGGGGAAGAAGAACAAGAAGAAGACGAATAAAGCATTCAAGCTCAAGATCAAGGTGGGCAATCCCCACCTGAAGAGGCTGATCAGCGGGGGGATCGCCGGCGCGGTGTCGAGGACGGCCGTCGCGCCATTGGAGACGATCAGGACGCATTTGATGGTGGGGAGTAATGGGAATTCGACCGCGGAGGTGTTCCAGTCCATCATGAAGCATGAAGGGTGGACTGGGTTGTTCCGCGGTAACTTTGTTAATGTCATTCGAGTCGCCCCGAGCAAAGCAATTGAGGTAACCGACTGATTTACTGATCATGGTGGAGTCATACTTTTTTTACAGTGTTTATGTGTAATGTATATTGATACTGTACTGTGCTTTGTTTGTGATTTACATACAATGGGGGAATCCTGTTAATGGATTTTTGTTTTACAAAATATGTAACCCTTATTCTTACAAAATGGTACTCCCTCTGTCCTAAAATGTAAGCATTTTTAGCTATGAATCTTTGTCTAGATTCGTAGCCAAAAGTGGTTATATTTTGGGACGGAGGTAGTAAGCATTAATGTTTGTTGCAAATCAATGTTTGTTTCTTTCCGCTTTTCGTGTGCTTAATTGATCCTGTAAACGGCAAAATGTGTTTTCTCCCTTATGCTTAGGATACATTATGCAAATTGTTAGGTATGTGGTTCAAATAAATCTAGGTATATCTTTTATATTTTAAGATTAACCCCTGTTACCCAAGAAAAGCTGAATAGCTCTTTTGGCATAGCTTAAAATTTGTTGAGAGATTGTGCCATTTTGGTATTGGATACCATAGAGTTAAGTTATATAGGTCAGTGTGCTAGCCTTGCGCAGTATGCAATTTCGGAGCTAGTGTAAGGCTGAAAGCATCGATGTAATTTCTGTTATAACACATCATTTCATCAGCGTTGTGCTATCTTGACCTTATGGATGATATTAATGGGAAAAAATAGTGATGATTATATACCCAAAAACAAGAAGCAGTTTGCAGTTTAGTCCACCGGTACGTAAGAATTGCTCTTATCTGTTGCCATAACATTTCCCTGCTCAAGCTGGTCTGAAGATAAGTAGCTTGAACAGAGTATGGTCTTCATAAATCACTATTTTTTTTTATTTTAACATAATAGAAACTTGGTATTTGCTTTCTCTCCAGTGAACCATACCTGATAATTTACACAATATTAGACAACAGCTGAGCGCAAACCGAAGGCACATACAAGACAAAACTAATTATATCCTTTTTTTTTTTTGAGATTTCCATTCCCAGAGGTATTGGCCTGATTAAACCAAGGTTTTGATCTGCAGCTAAATAATTCCTATATCTTTATGTTTGAGTGAGCTGCTCCAAACCTCAGGCAACTTGTTGCATGATTCATGTAAGAAAAGGTTTGTATGTTTCAAGGAAGCTACAGTCAGAAAGTTCTTGTATTGATTTTTTATCGTAATTAAAAATGTAATAAGGGCTATAAAAAGGCTAATTCTCATGCTTATTTGAAGTATGAAAACATCAGGCAGGTCCTTGCATTATTGTTGGCTTTCTTCAAATTTTCATTTCTTTTATCAAGAAACCTTTTCTGGCATTCACAGTTAGAGGGTTGAACAGAACACAGTTGGGTGTTTAATTTTTATGTTCTGTTTGTTGCTTAGTTCACACATGTTGGATGCGCATGGTTGTGTATATCATCGGACAACTACGATATAAATGATGGATGCATGTTGAAACATAAATAGCTAGTTGTACAAGTATTTGTGCACATACATATATTAATATTTGGCCGTCCCTTCTTTTTCTGCAGCTCTTCGCTTTTGATACAGCTAACAAGTTCTTGACCCCCAAATCTGGGGAACAAAAGAAGGTCCCACTCCCTCCTTCACTAGTGGCTGGGGCATTTGCTGGTGTCAGTTCAACCCTCTGTACTTACCCTCTGGAATTAATTAAGACACGATTAACCATACAGGTTAGTTCTATCCCTCTGTATGCCTCCCTGAAACTAGAGCCTTTTAACTTCCTGAGACGCAATACACGAATGTCATACGATGGTTGTGCCTTAAAATGTGCAGAGAGGTGTATATGATAACTTTCTCCACGCTCTTGTCAAAATTGTCCGTGAAGAAGGCCCTACTGAGCTGTACCGAGGTTTAACGCCAAGTTTAATTGGAGTTGTGCCATATGCGGCGACCAACTACTTTGCTTACGACACCCTTAAGAAGGCCTACAAGAAGATGTTCAAGACGAATGAAATCGGCAACGTTCCTACCCTGCTCATTGGGTCGGCCGCAGGAGCTATCTCAAGCACAGCTACTTTCCCCCTCGAGGTTGCACGCAAGCACATGCAAGTTGGCGCAGTCGGTGGCAGGAAGGTCTACAAGAACATGCTTCATGCTCTCCTGAGCATTCTGGAGGATGAAGGGGTTGGAGGGCTTTACAGGGGTCTGGGGCCAAGTTGCATGAAGTTGGTGCCAGCCGCCGGTATTTCGTTTATGTGCTATGAGGCTTGCAAGAAGGTATTGACAGAGGAAGAGGATGACTGAATAGTGTGTCCTTACACTCTTCAGAGCGCAGTTTTGCAACTTTTTTGACTGGAGGCATCTTTTGGGCTTGATTTGGAATCAAATCATGCTGGAATCGGATGAAACTCGTGTAGTTTCTTAAGAATTTTTACCCCAACTCTGTGCTGTCAGCTTGGCCTGATAAAACCTGCCTCTTTCCCCAGTTTTGCTTCAGGATATCATATGCAGAGAACATGTCCAATAACTGATTTCTGCTGAGTTTATGAAGTGGTTGAAACGCAAATGGGCAGTCATAATTCCCAGGTGGTGAAACAACTACGAGACTCTGTAATCTGTGTGCAGCTTTGCAAGTGCATGAAAGGTTCATTTGATCCATTTCCTCTGTGTTTGTGGCCTCTGGTTTATCTGTCGAGTTAAGATGGCATCAACAATGTTGTAACATCAAGAAGTGTGTTCTCAGTGATAATTTTTTTTCAGAGCTCAATAAGAAACTTCCAAACTAGCCCAGCCCAGAAAGCAGGCTAACAATGTCCATGTCCATATCCAGCCCATTTGTCTGACACTACATGGGCTTAAGTGGGCCTATCGCAGCAGAGCTCGCTGAAGGCCCATAGGCCGAAACCGTAGCAGGCTTCCTCACTTATGTACCTATAGCTTTTATTATGGAAATTACAATAATAGATTGGGGCAGAGCTAAAACGAAATGGAGGAGCTTACCACTTATTTGTTTTACTCTGCTTTATACCAAGTTTATATGTATAATTCTATAAAAGAAATTAATGGGCTGGGTTTGTGGGTGCCTCCTTGATTCCTCATGTAGCTCCGCCCCCCATAATACGCAATACTAATTTCTTTCAAGAAAACGACAACTCTCTGTAACATGTGGTATCGATACATCGTTTGACGTAAGAGAAAAAGTTGTAATTTTGTATATAAAAATAATGTGATACTTTTGTAGTAGTTTCGTGAAATGCAGGACGACATAAGAGAACAAAAGTGCAACAACTTTTCTTTTTATCTCTAGTTTTATATATGTTCAAATCGTAGTGTACAGATCGGCGCACCTCTAAATAAATATATCATGCATGACTCATGTAACACGAGGCACGACCTAATTAATTGTAACAAAGTGGCTAAACTATATGTTCATATAGGTCCAACAAAGGTACTCCTATTGATCATATAACGTAAAGGAACGATAACATCGTCATCAGTATGTGTATATTAATTGGTTTCTCGAATAAACATAACTATATGTATATTGGTTAACACAATTCAATGTTTCAGGTTGTAGCCATAAAGTACACATCACGGCCCACATACTCTTGGAAGCCCTAGCTAGAGTAATTGAAAAAATTCCAAGGCAATTTGACAATATTGATATTGCAACATATATAGATTTATCATTTTCTTAAGAAGAATTCGGAGTTCTTTCGGTAGACAAACAAAATAGACAAGTTTCAGAGAATATACAATAGCTTTATCATTTTTTCAGATTTCAACTTCAGTAGTATTTATCTCTTGTGATTTCTCTAACTACATAACTATACTATTCCATCCGTTTCACAATGTAAGTCATTTTAGCATTTCCCACATTCATATTGATGCTGATGAATCTAGACTGATATGAATGTGAGAAATGCTAAAATGACTTACATTGTGAAACGGAGGAAGTATATAGACTACTGATTTTACAATATTCATTCTTTTTCAATATTCTGATATTGCATAACCGTTTGCTGTTCAAGGTGCATGCAACCATCGAGGTGTTATCCAACTCAACGAGCAAATTATTATCACTCATATTATTTCTTCTTTTTTTTACTTTTTCTTACCTTTTGTTATACATATGTCACCTTGCCTTCGATCAACAGGTTGAAGTGGAACTTTAGGGCCCGATCCAAATACAAATCAAATACATTTTCTTTTTGTTTTTTACAATTTAAATACATTGTTCCTGCTTGCTTTCCCTCGAAATTTATGTGATAAGGTGATGCAAAAGCATGCTGCTGAGGAAAGTGAGATAACTCTGATCGCTTAGAATAAGATTGATATTTATCTCTCTAGCTTTCTATTGTCCAACGGTATGGCCGTCTTATAGAAGGATCGACCTTGCATTCCTGAGTCAGATTACATATGAACACGGGTGATATTTCGATCCTGGTGGTGAGAGACTACCAACATCGAGACATGCACAGGGATGACATATATTGCCCCTTTTTTTTAATTTTTTTTTGTGAATTTGATCATTCAAAACTTGTCAAATAACCAATAAATTTCGGGCGAAAAAGCACCGAAATTCCCAAAATTTCAGGAGCCACTGAATTTCCGAAAATTTGTTGGAAAACAAAAGTGTAAACCCTGAACATGCATAGGAGTCGGATGAATATTATATTACATATTTGGATTGCAAAACATGCAATGTTTTTCACATACGTGCTACTAGCTAGAAGCTGTCATGGCACTAACCTAGTTGCCGAGGTGGAAACCAGGATGACCTACCTAAAGATTAAGGATGCCTATTAGTTTAATGCGGTTATGATACACAATCACCAATTGATTCTAATGTTTGAAATTAAACAAATTCAGTTAGGGAGTTTTACAAAGACCAGTAGAGAGTTAGTGCGGGACAGATATCTCCATTAAAGTGGCAGATATGTGTCAAAACAGGAAAAAGAACCGCGACAACTTTATATGGGATAACATTTCCAGTTAAGTGATATCTTGCAGAAAAGCTAAATTATACTATATGTTTATTGATCCTATGTATGTGTCTGGCCCCAGTTGATTCATCTGTCTTTATCATTTTCAGACAGTATAGACTGGTTGGAAATGTTAAAAGTAATTTTCAATTGATTCGACACCGTACGTATCTGGCTAGATGTATACAGGGAATTGTACCCTGGATACATGTGCAAAAATAGGAGATGTGGTTCCAAACAGTCCGGATAATTAATATGCATATCGGATAAATATCTTAGATGGATAATGTGCCGGATAGTATTTGTGTGATACTCCCTATGTCGCATAATAAGTTGATTTTTGGTGCCTTTTGTTCATCCCAAAATAACTTTATTTTTAAGTAATTATTATTGGAGTTTGTAAAAAATAGGGAATAAGTACGTTGAAAATAGATAAAATGGGAAATATCTGCATTGAGATTTTAATAAAATGGAGGTATTCTAGTCTTTTTAGTGTTGGTATGTATGGAATATGTGAAAAATAAATTTATTTTAGAACAGAAAAGGGAGTATGAACTTATCGTTTTATGTCAGATACGGTGGTACAATTTTTCTGATCTTGTTTTTTTTTTATCTGGGTCCAAATGAATTACTCACATATATGTATGAAACTTATTTCATTCTAAATGGCAAATTAATTAATATAAATGTTAAAAGTGTACCTGTAACCGTAGCTAATTTAGTTATCAACAACACGTGTACGGGAAAAGGCAACATCAATGACACGGCGACTGACAATCGAGATTGAGTATACGAATGTATCCTTTTTTTTAGATAATGATACGAATGTATCCCTGTCAAGAAAAAATATATTATGAATATATAATAACCCATCATATACACGTGCTGATGGAACATCTGTGCATAAAGCCGAATTTGGTTTCATTTTCTCCAATTAAAGATTCGACTCGTTTTAATACATCATTCGACTAAACATACGTTGCACAAGCAGCACAACTAACACGATTTTGTTTTTTCAAAAAAACAGTTAGTCAGCTTTTTGTCTTCTTTTATGATCAAACAAGAAAAGGGACTATCTAAGAAACTTTGCAAGTATTTTAGGTGAAACACTTCTAAATGTAACCAGGAAGGTAGCCCGCGCATTCGCGCGGACATGTATCGTAGGTTGTATTTCAAACACTATAAGGGTGAAATATAAATTAGAAAATATTTTTAAAATATAAACTGGAAATAAAGGCCGCATAGATGCACTGACACTTATTTGTTGTTCTAGAAAAAGAATAGTAAAATAAATCATATATCATTATATACACTGTAAGGGAATGTAAATTATCTTCCAATAAAAAAGAAATATATTTGCTGTAAAATAGATGGTATATTTTAATATACTACTAAATATAAGAATAAGAATATCTCTCATATTTAAATAAAAATCATTTTGTCGTGGTCATATATAAACTCCCCTATTGTTATAGTTTTAAAAGCTATGTGCATTTTTAATAAATGAAACTGCATTGTATATTATTAAAAAATCATCAACACTGCTTAACTCGATGCCCATGACTTATTTCCACATCTATGTATAAATAGTCTAAACATACCACTTCTACCGGATAATACGATAGCACCGTTAAAAATAGACATAAATGTCTCTCTAACGGATGAAGTCGATAACTACAAAAGCTTTCTTATGTAATGCCCTGAAACATGGGTCCCACATTGATGTAGAAGTGCACCTAAAGACCATCCTATCGCACCATTTTAACACTTAGTTCACTATAGGCACACCCACAAAGGATTGCATTAGTAAGAATGTCACTTTAGATACATTGTCTACATTGGTCTTTTACTGACACCATCTTAACTCAACCATATGCATATGCCTGTGATATTTACAATGGCATAGTAAACACTACACCCTGCATTGAAGGACAGGGATGGAAAAAAGAGGAGGTGATGAAAATAATTATAATTTTTGCCTCCTACTTATTTCTGTGTGGTATTATTTTTAATAAAATCGTAGTTTAAAGACTATTGACAACAATAAGTGCTGGCGTTTATGATTTTTCTTATTAGTATTTCTTTCTGATTTTACTATTAATATATTGATATATTTTTGTGATTTATTGTTTTGTCCATAGTATATGACGTATGTAATTAAGTTTTTTTTTGGGAAAGTGAGACGATAAATATAGGCGGATTGGTTTTCCATCTAATAAGTGAGAAAGAAAAAAAAAGAATGATGTGGGCCCAACGTTGTACGTACGTATCAAAGTATGGACGTACTTGTTTTTTTATACCTATACGTGCACATACAATGTGAGTTTTTGAGGTAAATTTAATTGTATTTTTTATAATAGATCTAATAGTTATAAATATAGGTCCACTGCATTCTAAAATTTTTTAAAGCGCCACATAATAACTTAGGAGTGTTTTTAGAGGTGCTATGTGGCGGCTTAGGAACATTTATTGGAAGTTTAATGGACTTTTAGTAGATAATAGATAGATAATAGATAATAGATAGATTGAAGATTAGGAAAGGGAAGAGGATATGTGGGGAGAGAGGGAGTACGTACGTTACGTACCAACTGGAGGAGGAGGAGGAGGGGAACGTAGAGGAGGTGGGGACCGGTGTGGAGAGGAGGATTTTATTTTTTTATTTGATCTAATGGT